TTGTCACGCGTGCTATCTTAGCTGACCGATGAGACTTGACACCTTTGTAAAAACATCTGAAAGAAACTTAGTGATCAGTTGCAAAACGAACACGGGTTATAATATCCAGAAACGCTCTATGTATATATTTTAACATTTGAATGTTACAGAGCCATGTGACGTCGAATTAGTTTATTTGTACAGCTGCAGACGTATGGGATATTGTTCCTGTATTTGAATATTCACGGATACATTCCTCGAACAAGGAAGCTGCCCAAATGTATACATAAAACTGCGGTGGGTCGTAATTATGATATTTGCATTTTGTTTTCATTCATTTGCTGTTACATTGGATAGAACCAGTTTTGTTCCCTTTGTACCTGTAGGCGTGTATACATGTATATTACACTCAATGTGTACAAAGTGATTCACTCAGGCAATTTATAAAATGTCTAAATATTTCAGTAATATAGAAATTGACTGAATCCAAGTCCAGATTGACTAACAATTTTTAAGAGGTTCAAAAGGGCTTAAAAATAGACTATTTATCCTAGTATTAGAGTGAGTGAGTGTGTTTGTTTTTACCCCCCTTTTAGCACTATTTCAGCAATAACCACTAGGCTACCCGACCGTCCCGCTAGTATTAGAAGCCAAAACTATAGAAACGTACATAATTAGTACAATAACTAAGGCAACAACCAGTCTCGGGGCATTTCTCTAGATCAGTGTCCCTTTAAAATGAGAGGAAACCTTCCATTGTAGGTTTCTGGCACATCCAAGGGACGCAACTCTACACAACGAATTGCGACAAGATGACTGTATAGGCAATCAGCACAAAAACACGAGAACGCGAGATCGCGACACTTGTCCAATGTCGCAATCTCGCGTTCTCGCGTTCTCGTGTTTTTGAAAATAGTTACTTATAACTGTATAGGCAATTAGCCCAAAAACGCGAGAACGCGAGAACGCGAGATTGCGACATTGGTCAAGTGTCGCAATCTCGCGTTCTCGCGTTCTCGTGTTTTTGAAAATAGTTACATATAACTGTATAGGCAATTACCACAAAAACACGAGAACGCGAGATCGCGACAATTGACCAATGTCGCAATCTCGCGTTCTCGCGTTCTCGTGTTTTTGAAAATAGTTACATATAACTGTATAGGCAATTAGCCCAAAAACGCGAGAACGCGAGAACGCGAGAACGCGAGATTGCGACATTGGTCAAGTGTCGCAATCTCGCGTTCTCGTGTTTTTGAAAATAGTTACATATAAGTGTATAGGCTATAAGCACAAAAACACGAGAACGCGAGAACGCGAGATTGCGACATTGGTCAAGTGTCGCGATCTCGCGTTCTCGTGTTTTTTGTGCTAATAGCCTATACAGTTATATGTAACTATTTTCAAAAACACGAGAACGCGAGAACGCGAGAACGCGAGATTGCGACATTGGTCAAGTGTCGCAATCTCGCGTTCTCGTGTTTTTGTGCTAATAGCCTATACACTTATATGTAACTATTTTCAAAAACACGAGAACGCGAGAACGCGAGATTGCGACATTGGTCAAGTGTCGCGATCTCGCGTTCTCGTGTTTTTGTGCTAATAGCCTATACAGTTATATGTAACTATTTTCAAAAACACGAGAACGCGAGAACGCGAGATTGCGAGATTGCGACATTGGTCAAGTGTCGCGATCTCGCGTTCTCGTGTTTTTGTGCTAATAGCCTATACACTTATATGTAACTATTTTCAAAAACACGAGAACGCGAGAACGCGAGAACGCGAGAATGCGACATTGGTCAAGTGTCGCGATCTCGCGTTCTTGTGCTAAATGCCTATACACTTATATGTAACTATTTTCAAAAACACGAGAACGCGAGAACGCGAGATTACGACATTGGTCAAGTGTCGCGATCTCACGTTCTCGTGTTTTTGTGCTTATAGCCTATACAGTTGTATGTAATTATTTTCAAAAACACGAGAACGCGAGATTGCGACATTGGTCAAGTGTCGCGATCTCGCGTTCTCGTGTTTTTGTGCTAAATGCCTATAGAGTTATATGTAACTATTTTCAAAAACACGAGAACGCGAGAACGAGAGATTGGTCAAGTGTCGCGATCTCGCGATCTCGCGTTCTCGTGTTTTTGTGCTAATAGCCTATACAGTTGTATGTAACTATTTTCAAAAACACGAGAACGCGAGAACGCGAGATTGCGAGATTGGTCAATTCTCGCGATCTCGCGTTCTCGTGTTTTTGTGCTTATTGCCTATACAGTTATATGTAACTATTTTGTAAGGTAAATCGTCACGGTAAACTCGCGTGCAACGGCGTGAACTGAGGTGCGCACGAACCATTGTATCCAACATCTTTAAGACACTGCTTATTACTGTCTACAAACTCAAAAAATTGGAAGAATGATGTTTGATGATGAATAAAATCTCACGCTCGTGTCTTTTGACATCAAAACGACGAAATAAACCACAACGTTCATAGAAATTTCTGCTTTGCAAATTAATGCAGTTTATTTCAAAATGGCTGCTCAAAATCACGTGACTTTTGACAATGTCAGAATGCACATTTTCCAAGTCTTTTGATTATACAGAAATATATATGTAGACTGGTAACATAATAAAGTCAAGAAAACGCTTCTTTCTTGCCTGTGAACTGACTGAATTTGACAAATATTGTCTGACAACTAACAGTCAAATAACCAACTTGGATGCCTAATGGTATTTTTCAGAAAGATTTTGTTTGTTTGTTGTTAACGCCGCACTCAGCAATATTCAAGCTATATGAGGGCGGTCTGACATCAAATATATCAACACTCGTTAGGGTGGCCCAGTCGTCTAAGGCGCCGCGATTCTCTGTGCAGAGTTGCGTCAGTTGGGCACGCCCGAAACCTATGATTGTGGGTTCGAATCCCGGTTCGCCCTGTTTATGTTTCTTGTTTCACTATACCCGTTCTCGTGGGCTTCATCGAAGAAGTAAACGTCTGAGACCTGCATCACTTCGGGCTTTCCTCTCATATTAAGCTGACACGCTGTGATATAACTGGAATACTGATAAAAGCAGTGTTAAACCCAACTCTCGCACTTACTCTATAGATGACTACGCGTTTAATCGCTAAGAACATCGAAGAACGAAGCGGGATGTATTATACGATTAATCATGACCTCATTTCTGATGATTCGATTGTGATCTTGTAACATTATAACGCAGTGAGTGACGACGTTAATTGTGAGAGGGAAGTGACCGTCAGGTTGACTCCATAGATGTTGAGGCATTTCCGTCGTAATGGCGGCTGCATGAAGACGATAAACATCCCAGTGTCACCCACAGGGTACGGGTAATTTACAGGTTTGTCGTGTCTCGAAATATGAATTGTAAATAGTGTATCATGCCAAATATATGGTGAGTTACTGAATAAATACAGCAGTTTCAAGAAAGTGGTAATTGTATTTATAATGTTAAGTGTATTTTACAACATGGACCAGGTTTATATCGTATCTTATGAGTGATGTCGGGATCGAGTTATCGCCCTTGATGAATTGTTTGTTTATTATAGGGTTAAGATAATGATTTTGTATATAATTGATTATTAAGTTCATGTTTATGTACAGAATATAGACGTATGTTTATATGGACTGAATGAATGTGTGAATATGTATGTGTATGAAACCTATGCAGTATTGTTTTTATAATGTTATTTTTTTGTACATTAAAGGATGTCATTATCTACTCTGGCAATAAACACTCACACTCGTAGCCTATGTTTGAAATTGTATTTTCCTTCACAATCCCCGGTTACAATATGACAATCGGTTTTGGGAGAAAAGGTACGTGTAATCGACCTGAGGATTGTGTGAGCATATGCGGGAAATACCCGCCTTAAATAGGGGTAAATATTTTTAACCTTGTACATTTTATCAACATCCTTAAAGAGGGTGTACATAATGTTGATATCTCATATAATCATTAAACGACTCGTGGTTGTTGTTTATTGTACAATAAAACACTTGCCCCTCATGGTTTATTCTCCCTGCAGTGTTGTATTGTGCTCCCACTCGTCGTTTATTTCTTTACCAGTGGCCCGCTCATTTATGATAACATGCGGGCGGTTTAATGATAATTTTATCCATTTTAACTATAAAATAATGTAAAGCGGAATGTTTTGTAGTGAGGTTGGAGCGGATGGAAATATGATAATTAATTTTGTATTTCAAATTGGTCTATGAGAATTTTGCCTTTCATGAATATGGTAGCCGTGTATAACATTGCCTCATGGAGAAACTCACTGGCCTGTGATTATTTTTGTAACTGTAGTACTGCTGGTGCGGCTTTAAGCAATATTACACACTCACTGACGGTAATAGTTTTGTTTCCAGCTTTCGGACACATTAATGTTTTCACTATCATTGGACATTCATAGACACAATTTCTTTTGTTAAATTATATTGAGCATGTTGAGGGTTTTATCATAAAGTACATAGGAAACTGTAACAACGGGAGATGACTCAGACTTTAAATTACATAGCATTTTCAAACTCAAGTCATAAGTTTGCTAAATGCTACTTGGAGAATGAAGAGCATGAAAGAAGCATGACCAAAGGACTACTAATGTGCGCATGCGCTTGACCTTATGATATTACGCATGCGCACGGATAGCGTCTAAAACGCGAGAACACGAGAACGCGAGATCGCGAGAAAATGAAATGTCGCATTCTCGCGTTCTCGCGATTTCGTGTTTTTGTGGCCTAATTTGACAAGTCGAGATTGCGAGATTGCGAGATTTTGCATCATGTCCAAATGTCGCATTCTCGCGTTGTCGACTTTTGACAAAAAGTGCTATGTACCAAAAACACGAGAATGCGAGATCGCGAGAACGCGAGATTTTGGCCAAATCTCGCGTTCTCGCGATCTCGCATTCTCGTGTTTTGGGCATATTTACCTCGTTTCCAAAGGTCGAGATCGCGAGAATGCGAGATCGCGAGAATGTCCCTTACAGTATTCCATAAGAAACAGATCTACCTGAACTAAGTACGAAGTTAAGAGTTACCTGTCCCAATACTCATCGAAGGTGAGCAACAGTATATGTGTTCCTGAATATATGCCATGATATATTCCGGTTATATGTATGCAAATAGTACAGCCATGCTGGCATTTCCAAACGAAACCAAAAACGGGAAATAATGCAGGGTGGAAGAAACTTAAGAATGGGCAGCAGCTCAAGCCAAACAAGGTCCGATATTCAAGACATGGCCGATGAGAACACCTTCATAAATACTATACAAAGTGTGGTGGCCTATTATATCTACCCATCGATCTTATTTAGGATGTTTAGTGTACATTTTCAGTGGGTTTGTGACTGAAAGGTTGATATCGTTATACTCGCTAATAAAATGTCCTATCGATCAACGTACTTTTCACAATTTTATTGCCATTGCCTGCACGAGCTGTATGCGCCTGCTCTGTCGATGATGTTAACTTTATTTGTATATATCGATGACACTGTACGCCTTTGGAAATACGGAAATAAAGATGTATCCCCTTTATTACGGGGGCTATATAAACGGGATCTTGTCCGTCCCATTTCGAGCATACACACACCAGCAATGCTCTAGATGTGTACTGGTACCTCGTGCTTTTAAAGAAGTTTTGATAATATCGTTACCAAGAAAACAAGTTGGATTTATGTTTCAATATTCCAAAATGAAACGTTGTACTCATATGAAACATCCTACAACCTTGTTTTGATTCCGGGCTCAAATGATGACATGCATTAATAGGCATTTAGAAGTTGGAGTAACTCAGTAATCATCAACCGTGACCAAGGCCAAAACATACCCCCTGCTAACTTATCAAAGACCCCAATCAGTCATAATCCTGTAGTTTATATTACTGGCTTCACTCTTTTGTTTATGTTACTGACTTCGCCGGTAATGTCTTGACAACCCTTTTGTGTACATATCAGGCTTCTCCAATCTAGTATAACAGCATAACTACATGTACAACCAATATCTACTCTACTTTATAAACATTGCCTCCTATCTGTACACACACATATATATATATATGCTTTAACTTCTTTGATCAAAACTAGACTACGACTGCACCATATACAACACCCTTCAGGCCTTAACAGGAGAAATGCCACTAAGTCAACGCAGGGAACAGCTAAGCTTAACTTTCTGTGCGCGTCCCAATCAAACCCTCTCATCCAAAACTTAAAAAAACAAAATATTAAATTCTCCATCCGTCAAAAAAATTGACAGAGTAATCACTAAACTCCAAACAGGACACGCAAACCTAAATAACCACCTAAAATCTTTTTTAAAAAAACACTACAGGTATCTGCCCACACTGCAAACAACTAGAAACCCTAGAACACGCACTCATCCACTGCACACACTACCTAACACATCGAACCGCATTACAAACCACCCTCAATCTAAACAAGGCTCTCACTCTAGAAGCAATACTAAACCCACAAAATAAACTAGAAAACTTCAAGGACTTGGGCGTATTCTTAATCAAAACGGAACTAATAAAACGCATCTAAAAAGAAAATAACCTACCAAATCAAAATCACATAAACAAACAAACATCCACCATATTCAGCTCCCTTAGTTCTGCCCCCCAAACCCCATCGGCATCTATTCCAAATCTCAAAATTCCCAAATTCTATATAAGCAACCCCTAAACCCGCCTCTTGGGTTGCACACACCACTTTCGCCCCTTTCGGAAACACATTAAATTGGCTGGCCGGGCACGTGTGCGAAATACGCATCAGTCGGAAAGCGCACGTTAAATCTCCAAAGTAAGTAAGTAAGTTGATAGGCATTTAGAAGTTGGAGAAGTTGCAGAAGGGATCGAGGTACAAGAACACAATTCATATCTTTAGACAGCTATGAATTGATCGGATTTATGTCTCAACATGTATTTATGGCAGCTTGGCCACAACTGGCTTTAGAAAACAAATTTCTGCAAAACAATTGTCACATTGACAACATCAGGAAGACAAATGATGTTTAACGGTAGTCTGTAAATAATCGAGTATGGTCCAGGCAATCCAGTGATTGTCAGCGAGCCTGACCACCCAATTCCGTTAGTCGCCTGTCACAACAACTACATGTGATCGGCTCTTAGAGCTAGCATGGGCTGCAGAAGATCTACTCTCTTCCCGGATCTTCACGCGTCAAGACTATGCAAAGATCTATATATTGACTCTCTGACAACGCTTCCGAGTGCTTTACTAAGCGGAGGAGAGATTATGTGGGTATTCAGATGATAAGGACAAAAGAGTTACACGCCAGGAGATGGGGAGCCGACAGAAGCCGCGCGTTCTGATTGGTTTGGGAAAGTCCCGTTGGGATTACGTGACTCTAAAGATAGCTCGCCAACCGAGAACACCTGGAAAGCCCCACAATGTACAGAACAAAGCATTCCGTCTCTCAACAAGCTGTCGCATAACCAGGTCACGCCTCCCATATCTCGTGTGTTAACACATATACCGATACGGAATATGGTCTCTGTCACTGTATTGCCCGTCCTATCACCCATTTCTGTCTGGTATATACAGTGATAACGTGAAGACATATTTTTAAACAGTGTGTGTGTATGTCTGTCTGTGTCTCTGTGTGTTCAACTATCACATGCGACAGTAAATCAGTCATCTCGGACCATATCAGACTGAAATTTAGTCGCAGAAATAAAGTTATAATCTTCAAAAAAATATATCAACAAAATAAATATAAAATAAGTCCAAAAGGATCCCCGAACAATTCATAATTTCACAATGTGTACCGAACATTTGTTTGATGAATGAACACACAATGATCGTGCATCTAAAAAAATCGTCTTATAAGAATTGATAAACTGGTGTCTACCAAATTGTGGTTTATGGACACCATACACACTCTTTTGTTGCTTTGACTGGACTGTTTGCTGTCTCTTTTTGTCTCCTTTTATAAAAAGTCTTCTCATATCAATATGTCTTGTTTGCACTTCCAGGGCAATAAATGCAATGTCTCACATCAACAAAGACAAGAAAAAAACAAGCATTTCAGAACACTAAATACTAGTTTACATGTTGAATGCCTCAATACACTACTTCTGGATTGAATGTACTGCTTATATTTATAAACCGACATTATTTTCCTGCTGATATATGTCTATTATAAAATATTTATGAAATAAATGAGTTCATGATCATTTGAACATACATACCCCCTGTTCGATGATTTCGATTTTTATAGAAAGGGGTTTGTGTGTGTGTATAAAGTTTAATGAAACAGATTAACTGAACTGTAAATATTGATAAAACTTTAGAATTAAACCAGGGAAGGATGTAGATAATGAAATAATAAAGTGTTTTATGATTTTGGTATTGTCCATTATGCAGGGAATACGTTAAGTTTAGAACGTGTAACCAAAATCTACCTATTGAAACTGGGAGATGGAGAAAAAATATTATTAACCGAAAGGAAATGAGCACTTTGTAAATTATCAGACATAGGTAATAAATTCCATTATTTGTATATTTGTCCATCTTTAGAACACGTAGGGAACCAAGTTTTACACAGATTCTACGACATCAAACCTGATATGCATGTCATCGTATCCCAATTGCGTGAATCGATGCTCATGACGCCCTTCACTGGATTGTCTGGCCCAGACTCCATTATTTACAAACCGCCGACATAGCTTGAACAGTGTGGTGTAAATAACAAACAAATATTAATTTCATAGTGTTTATGTTTCAGAACAGACCATCAGTTTAACAACACTGTTACTTGCATCATGGCATCTGACATCATCATTGAAATAGCGGAAGCACCGAGGGCTCATCTGATTTATATGAACGAAGATGAAGATGACAGGGATCTCCAAACACTTAGAAAAGCCCTGGTTCAACAAAAGATTAGATATACGGATCAAAGCCATGTGTCTTCTGGTGGCCTGGAATTGTCAGGCAATGAGCGCCTGATGGAATCTGCTATTTGGGTTGTCATATTTTACTCTGAGAACTTCACAGAATCTGCTTCAGGGCGTCTATTGGAAGATGTATCCTTGCATCATACAGCAGGAATGAGGAATATCATATTTATTGTTCCAGCATCTTGTTCGGCCAGTTTTCCAGCGGGGCTACGGGGGTTTTCAGTTATTGACATCGGGACTGATAATGACTGGGTCTGTGACTTTGTAACACAGGTTGAAGAGGAGCCTTTAGCTACCGACGAAGACATTGAGAAGAAACGGATCATAGCTTCCATTCAGAGAATTTCAGCAAATAATAGATTTCTTAATGTCATGTTCAAATGTGATTCTATCAAGAAACATGGTAGCCAGAAACCATGTTTGTGTATCGTGTCTGCCTTTCTGGTACTGGAATATTACTTCTTAGTGACCTATCTTTTCTGTTGGATCCATCGGTGTTTGTTTGACAATAAGTTATCCAGTGACTTGTTTATAATTTATGTTTCTGCAATTGTAATAAACATATTTGCACTGAGGCCTTTCAGGGCAGTAAAGCGAATTGATACTTTGATTGTCACATCCTACAACTTTTTCATAAGGCTGGTATTCATGTGGTGGTTACTTGTGCATTGCGGGAACAGAGCTCCTGGCCTTTTGTTTATTTGGGTTGGAATGAGTGCAACAATTTGTATCCATTACCCGTATATTCTGTACTGTGTATTCGTAGATGGTCTTTGGATTACAAGTTTAGGTGCAATTTACCGTCTCCTAGTGACACAATTAAATTACATCTTTGTTTGCTATCTGTTTCTTTTTGACGGTTTCTTCATAATTGTGGCATTGTACGTGGCTCAAACATCTGTTGCGATTTTTTTCTGTATGTTGGTTATAGTAATTACTTTCACGCAGTACGATTATTTCAGATTGACAAGACGCATACGTTCTGAAACTGTATATGTGAGGAAATGTTTTAAGCCCAATAAAGCAATAGATTTAATGCTCACGGTGCCTGTTTTAGTGTATATGGGTTTTGTGCCACTATATTCATTGTATTTGTCCAACCAATAGAGCATCCCAACATTACAGAATGGTGGATGTCGACAGGTCTGCTCCAGTGTGGACGTCAGTTCAAGGAAACGCATCCCGCGTAAGAGTGTATCAGACAGTAAGCACTGCTTCACGATCCCAAGCATCATAAGATATAAGATAGTTTACAAAAAGAAACATACCAATACCAAAAGATACTCATTTACTACTAGCCACTCAAATCTACCAAATATGGTAATGATCCGAGACATGTGGCAGTCAGGATATTTTTGCAGTTATCGAAAACGTTGTGTCTCTTCTATTTACAAGAAAAGAGAGTTAGATAAGGTATGCGTTGATAGGGAGTGTTGATTTCAACCTTTATCCGGACTGTGAAAATAGAGTATTATTCAATCATTTTATATGTACACGAGCGTGATGTTTTACATTGCACTTGAATTCCGAGAAGTGATAACAGAAAACTATAATTTGCAATAATTGTCTTTTGTTATGATAACAGTTTGAGTAAAGGTTTTAATCGTATTGTGTTGGAAACCTCTCTGTAAGTTAGCTTCAGTCCAATTTATTTCAAGACGCTTGCAACTGGTATTCACCTTTTTCATAATTTGAAATATGGTTTGTAGTTTTTACGCATAGTTACTCTGTGTCCGCATTTGTGCAAATAAAACAAACTCTAAACGCATTTTGTCATTATGTATTTGACCTGTAACATGATTGTTTGAAAGGCACGACCAGCCTCCTAATTTAAGCGCCATGGTTCAAAGGTTAGAGAATGACCTTCTGAATTTGTAACGTTATACCTTATATATTATGTTACTATTTTAAGTGCGCGAATGGGTTGAGTTTACACAGTTTTGAACAGGATTAAAGTCATATATATGGAGTAAAGGCCGAGTTGTTGGGTTTACCAACTAGGGTAAACATACGAACAAGGGTTTGGTACTGACAAACCCAGTTTTAGAGATGTCACAAATGCAGAAAACATTATCTCAGCGTTCCTGTGGTTCACTAATGTGTAACTACCCTACGTGTGATACTCTGCATTTATTGGGTGTTCATCCGCTGATTCGCTGTATCTAAGTATTTGTTTGTTTGTTGTTTAACGCCACACTCAGCACTATTCCAGTGGTCTGTAAATAATCGAGTCTGAACCAGACAAGTCTGTGATTGACATCATGAGCATCGATCCACGCAATTGGGATACGATGACATGCATCAACCAAGTCAGCGAGCCTCACCACCCGTTACTGTTATCATAACCTTTTGCAAATTAACACAATTTGTCATACAAATATGTAATAAATCATGTATAAAAACAACCGAAAACATGGAAAATGTACTTTCAAGCAGCTATTGAATCGCTGAAATGTGAAGCGAAAGTGTCAAAAGCTAAAATGGAAATGTCAATAACAAAAACGGAAATATCAAAAACGAAAATGAAAATCAGAAAACTATTTCCGGCGCGGTGATATATATTATCACCGTGGTGGAAATATTATTACCACGGTGGAAATAATTTTCACCGCAGTGGAAATATTATCACCGCGGTGGAAATAGTTTTCTGTGTTTTCATTTTAGTTTTTGACATTTTCGCTTCACTTTTCAGCGATTCGATATCTTCTTTATGCATGATTTATCATATATTTGTATCACAAATCGTGTTAATTTGCGAAAGGTTACGACAACAGTAAGTGAAATATCAAAATATTGAAAAACAGACTCCATGTCCCTTATGGGCCACTGTAGTATACTATATTACTAAAATTTCAAGTCAAGATGCGGATGTACCAATTCTTTGTGGAAACGAAAAAGGATGTTGTGTTATCGAGGAATTTAACATCGTTGTCGAAGTAAATCGTCACAAGTTGTCTCCCTTCGACCACAACCACGTTCACAGTTCCCTCAGTCCAACCTGGCTTGTGCAAATTCACCAAACACGATAATCATAGATTATATACTGCTGTAAAGAATAACGCGATCCCTGAACTGGATACTAGCGTTATTCAAGAGGGGTTATTATTTACAGTTTTTGAGTATCAACGTCGAAAATAGTTGCAACTTATCACCCGCACTATTCATGTTAGTATAACTTCACCCTTGACAAAATACGTGCCCCGATGCTGTTACTGTCTGAAACTTTACACTGTGAGTGGGTTTGTCAGGTACATGTAATCTTACAATGCTTATACATTACAAATGTTAATGTACGATTAGACCGTGTAACTGTTTCTGTGTACTGAGAGAATGGATTGTCGGGGGAGGGGCAGAGAGGGGAAGTCAGGTCCCCACTATCCCTTGTCTCTTGTATCTCTTTCTCTCTCCTCTCTTCCTCTCCCGCCCTCCCTATTCTCTTCCCTTCTCGTTCTCTTGTATCACTCTCTCTTGTATCTCTCCCTCCTCCCCTCTCTTCCTCCCTCTCTCGTTTTCTTCCTCCTCCCTCCCTCTCTCCATCCACTCTCTCTCCCTCCCTACCTCTCTACCCGTCTCTCTATATATCACTCTCTCTTGTGTCTTGTATCTCCCCTCTCTCTCTTTTTCTCCCTCCCTCTCCCTCCCTCCACCCACTCTCTCTCTCCCTCCTGTCTCCCCCTCATCTCGGTCTCTCTCCGTCCGTTCTCTCTCTCTCTCTCTCTCTCTTCTATCTCTCCCCCCTCTCCCTCCCTTTCTGCCTCCCTCCATCCACCCTCTCTCTGCCTCTCCCTCTCCCTCTCTCTCATATGTATATCCAGGTCACAGAGCCTGAGCAAGACTTAATTCACCCCTTGTAACAAATATAGGTTTCTGGGGACTCGCCACGCCACGGGCCTATGATTCACGTTCTATGCATACTGTAACGATGCAGTAGTAAGTCTTTGCTTTTTTATTCCAACAACCCCTTCAACGTGTATTTGTATTACCAAGACGCCGAATTATTTTATCAAGGTTTATGCAGGAACGTGTTTCTAAGTCTTCGATAGATAATGTCAAAACTTACCTGTCTCTAACGTGTCAACACTGTTTAACTACCTGTTGTGGCAAATTGTGTTTTGTGTAATGCTTCATATTTTAATTCAAAGAAAACAATATTATCACCTGAATACATAAGAGAATGAAAAATGTAATCAACTGTGGCCTTAGTATCACCCGAGAGGTCCTTGTTATAGATCATGTCTACCTCACTTTCGTGGTACCGGAATGAACCAAATATCCATGTATTATGTATAAAATCAGCTTACACACATATATGCACATGTGCATGTTAGTTGAAAAGTTTTCAGGTATGACAATGATACTGGCAACATGCTTTTGTAATGTTGAATAAAAAAACCATTGGACATGTATCTCCGATCTTGTGATTGTTTCGTTCAACAATGAAAGTAACTCTATCATCGCATGATATCTTTGGCCGCCTCCGTGGTCTGGTGGATAGAGCGTCAGTGTATACAGCGAAGGTCGGGGGTTCCATTACTGGCCACGTCATACCAAAAGACCTCATAAGATGGTACTTGTTGTTACCCTGCCTAGATAACGACATTTACGGGGTAAAACAAGAGCTGGTCGGCTTGGAGTCGGTACACTGTGTCTCAGTGGGGTATCCATGTTAAACTGTGGCATGGTACCTCAGTGCGTTAGCGCTATTAACCGACACTTGTACAAGAGGACACACACACCATCGCATGTTCATGCACGTCGCTATGTAAGTGCAAGAGTCTTGAACCGTACGTTAAACCCCATTTCACCTCATTTCATATACTATCTTGACCCAACTATCTGTTCAGCACCCGGGCTAACGCTTAGTCTCTGAATATTTATTAATATGATAGAATCAAGCCTCTCCATGTAATTTGAAAACATCACCATCATCTCTATGTTGATTGTTCTCTGACCGTCACTGTGTCTCCATCATCTCTATGGTGGTTGTTCTCTGGCCGTCACTGTATCACCATCATCCCTATGTTGATTGTTCTCTGACCGTCACTGTGTCTCCATTATCTCTATGGTGGTTGTTCTCTGGCCGTCACTGTATCTCCATCATCCCTATGTTGATTGTTCTCTGACCGTCACTGTGTCTCCATCATCCCTACGTTGATTCATCTCTGGCGGTCACTGTATCACCATCATCTCAATGGTGGTTGTTCTCTGGCCGTCACTGTATCTCCATCATCTCTATGGTGGTTGTTCTCTGGTCGTCACTGTATCTCCATCATCCCTATGTTGATTGTTCTCTGGCCGTCAATGTATCTCCATCATTCCTACGTTGATTCATCTCTGGCAGTCACTGTATCTCCATCATCCCTATGTTGATTGTCCTCTGGCCGTCACTGTATCACCATCATCCCTATGTTGATTGTTCTCTGGCCGTCAATGTATCTCCATCATTCCTACGTTGATTCATCTCTGGCAGTCACTGTATCTCCATCATCCCTATGTTGATTGTCCTCTGGCCGTCACTGTATCACCATCATCCCTATGTTGATTGTTCTCTGGCCGTCAATGTATCTCCATCATTCCTACGTTGATTCATCTCTGGCAGTCACTGTATCTCCATCATCCCTATGTTGATTGTCCTCTGGCCGTCACTGTATCTCCATCATTCCTATGGTGGTGGTTTCCCGGCCGTCATCTGACCCTGCATCCCAAACATGTGACTGGATTCAATGATCTTCCCCTCGGTACATAATATCAGATTGTTTGCCATGGTAACGCAATACCTGGTACGTTTTCTCAACAACACAAACCTACGTTCCAAGAAAAGAAAAAGAAAACATGTAACTATTGATACAAGTACATCTTGACATGTACATAATATCATCTTGTTATAAAGCTGGTGTATATTAATCACATTTCTTACAGTGAGTAAATGTAAGGATTAGACTCTTCAATTTTTACCCTGCGTCACACCAAGCTGCTCCGAGAGTATCAAATGCTGAGAATCGTTTGATGTTCACTCCAACTGGCCCCTACTCTGGATATATACACACGTAAACATAGTTTCCACATGTCAATTGTTTCCAAGAAACCAATATATGTATTGTGGAACATGTAACCTTGAACTATCAGTAACCTGAGATTGATTAACAACAGTTATCATGAATATATTCAAAGGAATACGAATTTAATACATCCATTTATGGAGGTAGATTGTTTATTAACGATACCGTCCCATGTTAAATCACCATTATGATATGAGCTATCAATACAGTTGGCTGAATATTATTGTGAATTCCAATGGCTTCCATTGTCTGTGTAAATGATGTTGTTGTGATTTGATATTCAATATGTAGGTTTTAATTAGCTTAATTGGATTGTTCTTACAAGTATATAAGCTAGACCTTATCACCTGCAGGCATCGGGCATCGGATCCATGTTTTCAGAAAGACAGGAATTGGTAAGTCATACTCTTATGTTTTAGTCGAGAAAACGACTAGTTAACTGGTCTGCTTCATATGTATTTATGTTGTGTATTCTAAGGGCATGTAGATGATAGATTACTTCAGACTTTGAGATGATACGTGTATTTCAGACGTAGAAGATACATACGCCACTCGTACAGGTGTTATGTATTCTTTGGTCAAAGTCCCGTGGTTTTCCCGGGTTAAACAAGCTCCGCAGCAACTTCTGCTGGTCGTAAGAGGCTACCGAATTCATCAGGCTCGATGGTTGATTGCGTGTCATTCTGACGGCGTGGATATTGTGCACAGTGCCGATTACTGGAATGTCTGGTCCAGACCCTATTGTTTTACATGCTGCCATTATATAGCTGAAATATTGCTGAGTGCGGCGTAAAACAACACACAAACAAACTTAAGTCAAAGAGGTATATTTAAGATACATAAGTGACATGTACACTTAAAGCATATATGCGGTAAATATACCAAGGGAAAAGATTGGATATATATGCTTTAGGTAGAAAATGGTATGTTAACGTAAGGACATGCAGGTTGTATGGACATGTAGGTGTTATGGACATATAGGTGTTATGGACATGTAGGTATTGTGTATGCTGCGAGAGATGTATATATATAGAGCAGTGTAGATAACCTGTTACCAAGCACAAATATGCTTGCATACATCTTGTAGGATGACAATACCTTGAAGGTTCGCTGTCACTATAAGAACAGGGCCTTCCTATTCATGTAATTCTGTTATTTACATTATGTTATTTTCTGGTATATCTGACCTGTATTCAGGTCAAAATGTTAGCCATTACAACACTATACGTCATTTGAATGTTACCTTCTGGTGTATCTGACCTGTATTACTTATATTGCAGCTCAAAATGTCAAAGAGGTATATTTAAGATACATAAGTGACATGTACACTTAAAGCATATATGCGGTATATATACCAAGGGAAAAGATTGGATATATATGCTTTAGGTAGAAAATGGTATGTTAACGTAAGGACATGCAGATTGTATGGACATGTAGGTGTTATGGACATATAGGTGTTATGGACATATAGGTGTTATGGACATGTAGGTCTTGTGTATGCTGCGAGAGATGTATATATATAGAGCAGTGTAGATAACCTGTTTCCAAGTACAAATATGCTTGCATACATCTTGTAGGATGACAATACCTTGAAGGTTCGCTGTCACTATAAGAACAGGGCCTTCCTATTCATGTAATTCTGTTATTTACATTATGTTTTTTTCTGGTATATCTGACCTGTATTCAGGTAAAAATGTTAGCGATTACAACACTATACGTCATTTGAATGTTACCTTCTAGTGTATCTGACCTGTATTACTTATATTGCAGCTCAAAATGTCAGCTATCACTTTGCTGTTGGTTCTCTCCCTGGCAGCCCTGGGGTCTGCTGTCACCCCCGGGGTGACTACATGTACGTGGTTATCACATACAACACAGATACAACACACAGGTTCACTAATTATCTGACGACACACCTATTAAAGAATCAAGGAGATATATCCGTCAGCCTTGACCTCTTCTAAAGCTTAAAAAAGCATGAGCAGGATGTGATTAATACCGTGACGTCACTCCTCCACTGCCATTTCAATAAACACTATTCAACAGAAGACGGGATATTTTACATTCTAATGCTTCCTGTTTCCATAAAACTGGATTTCAATTACTTTTTTCCTAATTTAGATTGCTTATTCCTATCCCATTGTTGACCGAAGTTATTAGTACTTGTTACTTCTTTATACCGAACGGATGTCTTGTACAAGGAATAAAAGGAATCGTTCATTCACTCACACACCCTTTGACTAAAAGTGGATTTTCCTTATATCGGTCTGTTCACAGTTACCCTCGAGTACGAGAAGACAGAGGACGGCTGTATGGTAGATAGAGTTCCGAGAGAGGAGGATGAAACCTTCACCGTCACAGGATCCGGCCCCTGCATCACCTACAAGTGCCAAAAAAGAAAGGTCCGCCTGGTGACAGGATCCTCATGTATGTGCTGACTCAGCTTCACCTGAACACCTGTGTTGTTAACACAGACCCATTCTTAACTGATTACGCCAATCTTTTGAAATCTCAAGCTGCACATTCTCACTAAAATCAAACCTTAATTTTCGCTTCCACTTACAATAGGTTTTAGGACATCTAATTACGATTCACGTCAGAACGACCTTTCATACGACCAATCAGAGTGTTTCTTACCAGATCAGGAAAGTAACAGTAAGAATACGTTTTCTAATTATGCAACCGAAAATGGTTTTCCGAACGACAGTAACGGGCTTTATGACTGAATCCGTACAGTCTAGGCCATCTATTCGCTATTTCAGAATGTTGATTTGTACAGGTTTTAAAGTTTTAATCGAGAATTTGTCAAAAACTGTTTTGAAGTGTAGTCGCCAATTTGAAACTATTACTGTAGAGCAGTCAGTCATTCCATTGGTCGGTCAAAGATCTGCGAAAGGTCGGTCTGACGTGACCCGTAATGGCGTGTTCTCAGATCTTTGCTTAGCGGTAGCGAGAACAAAGGTCTGATTTTATTGAGTTCGGTAAGTGCAAAAGTTTTCAAAGGATCGTACGTCCGGTTGAAAATCATTGTTTTAGAACTTTGAATGTTGAAGGATTTCAAATGTATCTGTGTTCATGAAAATCATTGTTTTAGAACTTGTGGTCAGTTTAGCTTTGTTGATCTAGCTAAGTCTACGATTTGTTTTCCAGCATGCCAAGATGGCGACACCTGCAACTCTGGAGAGTTCACTTCCGGCTGTAACACGTACACCTGTGCTGTAGCCGGTCAGACGAAGAGGAATGATCAACAGGTTATCGTCACACAGACTGTCGCACTTGTTGGAACAGGTACTGTATTATACTCGTCACGTTTATGTCCTAGATGAAGAAACTGTTCACTGGAGTTCAATGCTGGCTAATCGAGACGCTGGGGAACAGAAAACTTTCAATTGTGAAAGTTATTGACGATTAGTAGATGTTCTTTTAAAGACCAGCAAGTTTGATATTAGTCGTTTCGGATAACTCTAAACGTTAATGTATATCTCACAGTCTATCAGTTACTGGTTACCTTTCGTACGCAGATGCATTGAATCAGTTTCACACAAGCAACAAATTAATACGTCTAAACACAGGCTAAACATTGCTTATAAATCCTAGAGCATCTCCCCCTTTAAAACATATAAATAACGCTTTCTGTAGTGCAATGACCTTTTAACTGCATGATTATTAGAAGACAGAATTGACCTTGTGTAAAACATGTTTCTGCAGAAGAAACGTTTAATGCAAAAGTTTATCCTTGAGTGACACCACCTCATGATGTCATTATTTCCAGTTATACAGTGTCGTGTGGTTCTATGAAGGACACAGTTTGTTCTTAATGATCGACCTTGGTCTGTTACAGAGCAATGCTACGTGCGTGGAGGCTGCTACTCTCTCGACACTGAAATACCGACGTCTGCAGGGACGTGTGTGTGTGCCAGCTCCACCGACATCACATGTGAACCCAACTTGCTGGTCGACCCTTCGGTTTATGGCCAACTAGGTTAACGAGGAGGGTGACCTTTTGACTGCTAGCTTCTCGGTGGTTGACCCTTGCGCTCACGACCCTCACTGCTCTCGATGAAGTGGTCACTATAGTTCTCAACACACCTGAGAAGAATCTGCTGTACCTGAAATAAAGATAACCAGTAATATCTCTTGATGCATTTTGTATTTATGATTCTGTTGGATTACCTGCAGTTCTACATCGAGTGTTAACCAAACTTGGTGGTCGTCACTTCCGCTCGAGGGGCTCTCGATGGTTATCGAGGTGTTTAGATTTAATCCTACTGTGTTCTGCAATTTTATGTATTCTTACTGTAGAGCAGCTTCCTCTTATTTTATTTTGGAACCGAGCACTGTAGGTTAATCTCCATTCTACCATGACGGAAAGCGGCGTAAAAGCCATCTTACTCACACTACCATGACGGCAAGAGCGCTTTGAAAACTCTGCTCTCTTGGAATGCGTAATGAAACATGGGTTCAAAAGTCTAGCATCTAAGAAGACCCTGAAAAGGGGTCACAGGTAGTTGTAAATGCACCCAATAATACTAAAGTTCCAGGTTAAAATAATAATAGTATTGACGAGTTAATCTTTCAAAACGCATAGTTTTCAAAAAGAAGTTGCGAATAACCCTCCAAAGATAAATGCTTTAATTTCATCGAAATATGATGCATATTTGCACTTCTTGGACTCAACCAAGACATTACTTGGAAATGAGCTCAACAAGTCATTTCTTGGAAATCAAGATGACATCTCCCATTGTGGGGGTGACAGGTTGTAGAAAAAGTGACAAAAACGCTGAACGAATATATTTCTCCAACAAACCTAATTAAATAACAGGACTTTAGTTACTTGAAAATGTCGATCCTGACTACCTTCCGTTTGCTGTCCATGGCTGCCAAAATAGTTGTTCACGGTGACAGTGTTATTTACAATTTGCATGAACCCAAAGGACAATCTCGATCTGTGGTCTGTACCTAGTGATGCACGTATCTCGTAATTCGAGCTTTTCATAATCTTCGCAACTCGTAATCCTCTTATCTGTTAATTCGCGCATACCCAGGGACGTACTCATCAGTGACTACCTGTAAACTGTAAAATTGGAAAGTTTTGCGTGCAGGAATGTACTGCGAAAACTGGGAGTGACAGACACTCGTAATGATTTCATGGCGCAATATTTGCCAGGTCAGCAACAAACAAAAGACGAAAGGAGGCATATTTCATTAAATTCACTCCCACATAGGAAGATACCATCAACTGAAAATGCCTACTCTGCCAATTATATGACATTATTTAGGTGATGAATTTTACTATTTGTATACGTGTCCTTCATTTGAAAAAGAACGAAAACAAATAATTCATAAATATTATTAACAGAACAGAACAGTACAGAATTTATTTCGTATAGTCTGAGGCCAATAGAACAGATGGTTGGATAATATTTGACATATTGTGACAGAGCGCTTCAGTTAATATTGACTTAAGAATTTCTAAGTTTAAACATTTTATCTAAATAAAGAGCAAGCTGAAATAAAATGTTGTCATTATTTGTTGTGAGTAACAATACAAACTTGTGCAGGGTAGGATTTTGATAGTAATACGAGGGCAAATATCTTATCCTTAACTTAGTATAAGCTGGACATATAAATAGTGCATGGTATTCATCATCTAAGTCTTCTTTACAGAAATTACATCGACTGTCTGCAAAGTCATGGTCACTAGACATTCTTTGTTTATGTATTTTAAAATCATTTGAAGCACATCTAAATTTTGTTAAAGATCTTCTTAAATTTACAGTCTTAATCGATGATAGACATTTTTCAGGTTGTAGTAAGGATTTGTAAGTGCAATATAAATCTAGCCTTGGTGAATTAGATATACAATCTGACCATTCTTGCATATACAAATCTCTTGTTCTTTCCTTAAATGTATAAAATAAAAACATCACAGTCTCCGACATCTTGCATCAACCATACATAACCGAAACCATAACTAAACAATGTATATCTTACAAATGAAACCCAATTTGTATAACCTAATTCATCATATTTACATAGCATGAAATAGCAATGTTTTGGATATTTACCCAGAGGCATTCTTAATAGTTTAATCCAATGCTTAATTATTCTCACAACACCATGTTCATACATTCTCGTTCTTCCAAGTTCACCTAATATAGCAGCATTTGAAGATTTGTATCCTATTTTTAAAGTATATTTACAAAATTTAGTATGCATAATTTCAATGCTTTTTCTTACTTCTGTACACCATATTTCCGCACCATATAGCAAAATGGGTAAAATTTGACAATCAAATATTTTAAAGTATGTATCAACGTTTACGTCTGGATATTTTACCATCATTCTTTTAATTTGCACTAGAGCCTTGTTTGCCTGATTAGCTAAAGTAAAACATGCTTGAGTAAACATATTTCTACATGAAATTAGAATACCAAGATATTTATAGTATGACACCACTTCAAGCTGTTCACCATTAATAAACCATTCTTCATGTTGTGATAGAGGCCCTCCATTTCTTAATACCATAACTTTACTCTTATGAATATTTACTGTTAGTCCCCATTTATAGCAGTATCTTTCTAAACTAGTTATTTTGTTTTGAAGATTTATAATAGAATCAGCAAGTATGGACACATCATCTGCAAATAAGAGCAAAAATATTTCATCAATATCACAATCAATGAAGATACCACGAGTGTCATCGCTCTTCATAACATTTACTAGTTCGTCTATGTACATCAAAAACAGTAGCGGTGAAAGCATACATCCTTGTCTAACACCGCATGAGGTGTCAAATAACTCAGTATAATGTGAAGAACTTAGCTTCACAGCAGCTTTAACGTTACTATACATACATTTAAGTACATTAAATACATTTCCATGGATGCACTGTGTCAAACCTAAATACATTAATTTTGTCCTATCAACCTGAACAAAAGCTTTCTTGAAATCAACGAACAAACAGCAAAATTTACCTCCTTTTTTCCTTAAATATTTATGTGCCAGTAAAAGGAGAACAAATATATTATCAATAGGGGAATGACCCTCTCTAAAACCAAACTGTGATTCGGATATGCAATTTTGAACTTCAAACCAAGAAGTAAGTCTTTTATTAATTACTGATGTAAAGATTTTCCCCATAATATTTAGGAGGGTGATACCTCTATAATAACTTGGGTCAGTTCTACTTCCTTGCTTAAAGAGAGTGGGAATAAACCTATTATTCCAAGCCTGTGGAAAATATCCGTTCTTTAATACTTCATTAAATAGTATTAATAAATAAGGCATTATGATATTACAAAATTCTTTAAATATTTCTGGTGGGAGACCATCAATTCCTGGAGATTTCCGAGTTTTCAATTTTTTCAATGCATATTTAATTTCTTCTTCAGTTATTACACCTCCTATGAAGTCATCACACAGTGCACATTTCTCGCAATTAGCAAAAATATGATCTAGAATGTAATTCTTGACATATTCGTTAAACGCAGCATCTGATTCTATCTCTGGATTTAAAAGTCTCTTAAAATAGGTCAGCCATTCTTCTTCTGGTATTTCTGGCCTTAATTGTTGGTAAGATCCACACAGTTTCTTAATTAGTTTCCAGAATAGTTTACAATCTTTGTCTTGTGCTGCCTTAGAAATATCCTCCATAATCTTTTTCTCGAAGTCCTTTTTCTTCTGTTTGCAAAAACTTCTAAAATGATTCTTCAAAGAAAATATTCTGTATTATAATCAGTATTATTTGTCTTTCTAAAACGGTTTAACGTTTTATATTTGTTCTTTTTAGCACTGTGGCAGCTCTTGTCGAACCATTGTGGTTGCTGGTTATAAATATCACTATATGACAACAAACATGTATAAAGTGAATTTATTTTTTAATAACAAAAGATTAGGAACATTGAAAGTTTGGTGTCTGTGTACCTAAGTGTGTGTGTGTGTGTTTGTGTGTGTGCCTGAGTGTATTTGTGCGTGCGTGCATGCGTGCCTGCATGTGCGTTCGTGCGTGTGTGCGTGCGTGCGTGCGTGCGTGCGTGCGTGTTTGTAGGGTTGCGTAAGTGTAGGTGTCGGGGTCTTCTTGCTTATGTTATTTTAATAGTTCTTTTACAAAATATTGCACAATTAGAACTGCTATGATTTTTAATTTCTAATGAATATCTGCCATAATAGCTAGCCAATGTCTGCTTTTATATTCTACAACGACGAAGAAACATGTTTGATCACTAATGTTATACTAGTATTTGTATATAGGTTGCGTATTACATGTTACTACAGTATCTCATAATTCCATAAGGAATCTCCTGTGATGAATGAATGAATGAATATAAAAAAATAAATAAACAAACAAACAAATAAATAAATGAATAAATAAATGAACAAGATATAATATTCTATTTGTCTTTTGGATCATACTGATACGTCATACAATGAACGTGTCACTGTCTTACCAGTAAAACATAGTGGAAAATATTAAAAATAAGTTGATAAAACGTAACGAAATGATCATTTCCATTGGACCTTTAAGATTAAACTTTACTATATATGGTTTGCATAACAACATGCATCTAACTTATAAAAAGTCACCACGCGTGTTCGGTATTAAAGTTCACTGTCTGTCGTTAATAATCCGAACACAGATGTATCCGATAAGCTTCCCTTAAGTAACTTTTGTCAATTGTTATACTCAGCTAATTTAGCCTTGTGTAATTTCAATTAAGCAGGTGCCGCTTCCAATCTGATGTCCTCAGGAACGTCCCCCACCATCACAGCATTCTATCACGCTGTCACGTGACCTTAAAAAACAAGACTGTGCTACGTGACCTAACAAAAACAAGACTGTGGCTGTCTGGAAGGTAACTTCTCACGCTGCCTACACTTTTTTTGTAGGCAGACTGAGTATAAATTAGTAATTAGTGTAGGCAGACTGAGAGTAGTGAAATGCTATCTTACCTGGTGAAAAATGGAAAGGTTCACAATGTAACAGCGAGAATTTCACAGTTTAGAATAAGATGTTTCTTTACATACATGTGGTATGAGTAGATTAAAAAACAACATCGGCCCCACGGCCTTTCAGACACAAAATAATTTCAAGGTTAATGTGAGACATGACAATGTTTCTTTGTTTGTTTTGATTAGTTAACAAAATACTTTATTAAGTTTCAATGCCTTCTCAGTTAACTCAAATTTATTCAAAGTTATTCTCACATTAACTCAGAGATCAAACACTTACTTATCTACTTTGTTTGTTTTTATTAGTTAATCCTATTCACACTTTTACTCACATTGTTAACCTATTACTTTATTTCAAGGAGTATTTTATTCTAAAAAACCTGAAATAGTACAAAATGTGTGTGTGAAACTTTGGTGACAGTGTTATGATGGCTGCGTTACAGAAAGTTGAGTTCATCACTTCTCAGGCTGGAGGTCAGCACGTCTTCTTTGGAGGCTTCAGGTATCGCCTGAACAACCGCCGACAGACTGCAACTCACTGGAAGTGTGTCTTTTCTAACGGTCTTGGGAAAATTAGCACAGTTGGTGCATTTGTTCGAAATTCATCCCCTCACAACCACGAATTTTTTTAAGACGACACAACCTTACGCCTCATGAGTAATCTACGACGTTGGTGTTTGTTCCAGGAGAGTATACAGAGACTTAGACTCGCGTCTTCAGACACTGAAAGTGGAGCTGTTGCAAGGACAGATGACCTCTATGTTGGTTGTTCTCTGGCAGTCACTGTATCTCCATCATCCCTATGTTGGTTATTCTCTTGTCGTCATTGTATGTCAATCATTCCTATGTTGATTGTTCTCTGGCAGTCACTGTGTGTCCATCATCCCTATGTTGATTGTTCTTGGCAGTCACTGTATCTCCATCCTACCTATGTTGATTGTTCTATGACAGTCACTGTATCTCCACCCCCCCACCCCACCCCACCCCACCCCCCACCCCCCCTCCCACCCCCCTATACTGATTGTTCTATGATGATAGATTACTTCAGACCTAGAGATGATACGTGTATTTCAGACGTAGAAGATACATACGCCACTCGTACAGGTGTTATGTATTCTTTGTTCAAAGTCCCGTGGTTTTCCCGGGTTAAACAAGCTCCGCAGCAACTTCTGCTGGTCGTAAGAGGCTACCGAATTCATCAGGCTCGATGGTTGATTGCGTGTCATTCTGACGGCGTGGATATTGTGCACAATGCCGATTACTGGAGTGTCTGGTCCAGACCCTATTGTTTTACATGCTGCCATTATTTAGCTGAAATATTGCTGAGTGCGGCGTAAAACAACACACAAACAAACTTAAGTCAAAGAGGTATATTTAAGATACATAAGTGACATGTACACTTAAAGCATATATGCGGTATATATACCAAGGGAAAAGATTGGATATATATGCTTTAGGTAGAAAATGGTATGTTAACGTAAGGACATGCAGGTTGTATGGACATGTAGGTGTTATGGACATATAGGTGTTATGGACATGTAGGTATTGTGTATGCTGCGAGAGATGTATATATATAGAGCAGTGTAGATAACCTGTTACCAAGCACAAATATGCTTGCATACATCTTGTAGGATGACAATACCTTGAAGGTTCGCTGTCACTATAAGAACAGGGCCTTCCTATTCATGTAATTCTGTTATTTACATTATGTTATTTTCTGGTATATCTGACCTGTATTCAGGTCAAAATGTTAGCCATTACAACGCTATACGTCATTTGAATGTTACCTTCTGGTGTATCTGACCTGTATTACTTATATTGCAGCTCAAAATACAACACAGATACAACACACAGGTTCACTAATTATCTGACGACACACCTATTAAAGAATCAAGGAGATATATCCGTCAGCCTTGACCTCTTCTAAAGCTTAAAAAAGCATGAGCAGGATGTGATTAATACCGTGACGTCACTCCTCCACTGCCATTTCAATAAAAACTATTCAACAGAAGATGGGATATTTTACATTCTAATGCTTCCTGTTTCCCAAAACTGGATTTCAATTACTTTTTTCCTAATTTAGATTGTTTATTCCTATTCCATTGTTGACCGAAGTTATTAGTACTTGTTACTTGTTTATACCGAACGGATGTCTTGTACAAGGAATAAAAGGAATCGTTCATTCACTCACACACCCTTTGACTAAAAGTGGATTTTCCTTATATCGGTCTGTTCACAGTTACCCTCGAGTACGAGATGACAGCGGACGGCTGTATGGTAGATAGAGTTCCGAGAGAGGAGGATGAAACCTTCACCGTCACAGGATCCGGCCCCTGCATCACCTACAAGTGCCAAAAAAGAAAGGTCCGCCTGGTGACAGGATCCTCATGTATGTGCTGACTCAGCTTCACCTGAACACCTGTGTTGTTAACACAGACCCATTCTTAACTGATTACGCCAGTCTTTTTAAATCTCAAGCTGCACATTCTCACTAAAATCAAACCTTAATTTTCGTTTCCACTTACAATAGGTTTTAGGACATCTAATTACGATTCACGTCAGAACGACCTTTCATACGACCAATCAGAGTGTTTCTTACCAGATCAGGAAAGTAACAGTAAGAATACGTTTTCTAATTAGCAACCGAAAATGGTTTTCAGAACGACAGTAACGGGCTTTATGACTAAATCCGTACAGTCTAGGCCATCTATTCGCTATTTCAGAATGTTGATTTGTACAGGTTTTAAAGTTTTAATCGAGAATTTGTCAAAAACTGTTTTGAAGTGTAGTCGCCAATTTGAAACTATTACTGTAGAGCAGTCAGTCATTCCATTGGTCGGTCAAAGATCTGCGAAAGGTCGGTCTGACCCGTAATGGCGTGTTCTCAGATCTTTGCTTAGCGGTAGCGAGAACAAAGGTCTGATTTTATTGAGTTCGGTAAGTGCAAAAGTTTTCAAAGGATCGTACGTCCGGTTGAAAATCATTGTTTTAGACCTTTGAAGGTTGAAGGATTTCAAATGTATCTGTGTTCATGAAAATCATTGTTTTAGAACTTGTGGTCAGTTTAGCTTTGTTGATCTAGCTGAGTCTACGATTTGTTTTCCAGCATGCCAAGATGGCGACACCTGCAACTCTGGAGAGTTCACTTCCGGCTGTAACACGTACACCTGTGCTGTAGCCGGTCAGACGAAGAGGAATGATCAACAGGTTATCGTCACACAGACTGTCGCACTTGTTGGAACAGGTACTGTATTATACTCGTCACGTTTATGTCCTAGATGAAGAAACTGTTCACTGGAGTTCAATGCTGGCTAATCGAGGCGCTGAGGAACAGAAAACTTTCAAATGTGAAAGTTATTGACAATTAGTAGATGTTCTTTTAAAGACCAGCAAGTTTGATATTAGTCGTTTCGGCTAACTCTAAACGTTAATGTATATCTCACAGTCTAACAGTTACTGGTTACCTTTCGTACACAGATGCATTGAATCAGTTTCACACAAGCAACAAATTAATACGTCTAAACACAGGCTAAACATTGCTTATAAATCCTAGAGCATCTCCCCCTTTAAAACATATAAATAACGCTTTCTGTAGTGCAATGACCTTTTAACTGCATGATTATTAGAAGACAGAATTGACCTTGTGTAAAACATGTTTCTGCAGAAGAAACGTTTAATGCAAAAGTTTATCCTTGAGTGACACCACCTCATGATGTCATTATTTCCAGTTATACATTGTCGTGTGGTTCTATGAAGGACACAGTTTGTTCTTAATGATCGACCTTGGTCTGTTACAGAGCAATGCTACGTGCGTGGAGGCTGCTACTCTCTCGACACTGAAATACCGACGTCTGCAGGGACGTGTGTGTGTGCCAGCTCCACCGACATCACATGTGAACCCAACTTGCTGGTCGACCCTTCGGTTTATGGCCAACTAGGTTAACGAGGAGTATGACCTTTTGGCTACTAGGTCCTCGTTGGTTGATCCTTGCGCTCACGACCCTCACTGCTTTCGATGAAGTGGTCACTATAGTTCTCAACACACCTGAGTAGAATCTGCTGTACCTGAAATAAAGATAACCAGTAATATCTCTTGATGCATTTTGTCATTTATGATTCTGTTGGATTACCTGCAGTTCTACATCGAGTGTCAACCAAACTTGGTGGTCGACACTTCCGCTCGAGGCTCTCTCGATGGTTATCGAGTCGTTTAGATTTAATCCTACTATGTTCTGCAATTTTATGTATTCTTACTGTAGAGCAGCTTCCTCTTATTTTAATTTTGGAACCGAGCACTGTAGGTTAATCTCCATTCTACCATGACGGAAAGCGACGTAAAAGCCATCTTACTCACACTACCATGACGACAAGAGCGCTTTGAAAACTCTGCTCTCTTGGAATGCGTAATTAAACATGGGTTTAAAAGTCTAGCATCTAAGAAGACCCTGAAAAGGGGTCACAGGTAGTTGTAAATGCACCCAATAATACTAAAGTTCCAGATTAAAATAATAATAGTATTGACGAGTTAATCTTTCAAAACGCATAGTTTTCAAAAAGAAGTTGCGAATAACCCTCCAAAGATACATGCTTTAATTTCATCGAAATATGATGCATATTTGCACTTCTTGGACTCAACCAAGACATAACTTGGAAATGAGCTCAACAAGTCATTTCTTGGAAATCAAGATGACATCTCCAATTGTTGGGTTGACAGGTTGTAGAAAAAGTGGCAAAAAAGCTGAACGAATATATTTCTCCAAATAACAGGACTTTTCTTAAATAACAGGACTTTAGTTACTTGAAAATGTCGATCCTGACTACCTTCCGTTTGCTGTCCATGGCTGCCAAAATAGTTGTTCACGGTGACAGTGTTATTTACAATTTGCATGAACCCAAAGGACAATCTCGATCTGTGGTCTGTACCTGGTGATGCACGTAATCCGTGTATCTCGAAATTCGAGCTTTTCATAATCTTCGCAACTCGTACTTCTCTTATCTGTTTATTCGCGCATACCCAGGGACGTACTCATCAGTGACTACCTGTAAACTGTAAAATTGGAAAGTTTTGCGTGCAGGAATGTACTGCGAAAACTTGGAGTGACAGACACTCGTAATGATTTCATGGCGCAATATTTGCCAAGTCAGCAACAAACAAAAGACGAAAGGAGGCATATTTCATTAAATTCACTCCCACATAGGAAGATACCATCAACTGAAAATGCCTACTCTGCCAATTATATGACATTATTTAGGTGATGAATTTCACTATTTGTATACGTGTCCTTCATTTGAAAAAGAATGAAAACAAATAATTCATAAATATTATTAACAGAACAGAACAGTACAGAATTTATTTCGTATAGTCTGAGGCCAATAGAACAGATGGTTGGATAATATTTGACATATTGTGACAGAGCGCTTCAGTTAATATTGACTTTAGAATTTCTAAGTTTAAACATTTTATCTAAATAAAGAGCAAGCTGAAATAAAATGTTGTCATTATTTGTTGTGAGTAACAATACAAACTTGTGCAGGGTAGGATTTTGATAGTAATACGAGGGCAAATATCTTATCCTTAACTTAGTATAAGCTGGACATATAAATAGTGCATGGTTATTCATCATCTAAGTCTTCTTTACAGAAATTACATCGACTGTCTGCAAAGTCATGGTCACTAGACATTCTTTGTTTATGTATTTTAAAATCATTTGAAGCACATCTAAATTTTGTTAAAGATCTTCTTAAATTTACAGTCTTAATCGATGATAGATATTTTTCAGGTTGTAGTAAGGATTTGTAAGTGCAATATAAATCTAGCCTTGGTGAATTAGATATACAATCTGACCATTCTTGCATATACAAATCTCTTGTTCTTTCCTTAAATGTATAAATAAAAACATCACAGTCTCCGACATCTTGCATCAACCATACATAACCGAAACCATAACTAAACAATGTATACCTTATAAATGAAACCCAATTTGTATAACCTAATTCATCATATTTACATAGCATGAAATAGCAATGTTTTGGATATTTACCCAGAGGCATTCTTAATAGTTTAATCCAATGCTTAATTATTCTCACAACACCATGTTCATACATTCTCGTTCTTCCAAGTTCACCTAATACAGCAGCATTTGAAGATTTGTATCCTATTTTTAAAGTATATTTACAAAATTTAGTATGTATAATTTCAATGCTTTTTCTGCTTTTTCTTACTTCTGTACACCATATTTCCGCACCATATAGCAAAATGGGTAAAATTTTACAATCAAATATTTTAAAGTATGTATCAACGTTTACGTCTGGATATTTTACCATCATTCTTTTAATTTGCACTAGAGCCTTGTTTGCCTGATTAGCTAAAGTAAAACATGCTTGAGTAAACATATTTCTACATGAAATTAGAATACCAAGATATTTATAGTATGACACCACTTCAAGCTGTTCACCATTAATAAACCAATCTTCATGTTGTGATAGAGGCCCTCCATTTCTTAATACCATAACTTTACTCTTATGAATATTTACTGTTAGTCCCCATTTATAGCAGTATCTTTCTAAACTAGTTATTTTGTTTTGAAGATTTATAATAGAATCAGCAAGTATGGACACATCATCTGCAAATAAGAGCAAAAATATTTCATCAATATCACAATCAATGAAGATACCACGAGTGTCATCGCTCTTCATAACATTTACTAGTTCGTCTATGTACATCAAAAACAGTAGCGGTGAAAGCATACATCCTTGTCTAACACCGCATGAGGTGTCAAATAACTCAGTATAATGTGAAGAACTTAGCTTCACAGCAGCTTTAACGTTACTATACATACATTTAAGTACATTAAATACATTTCCATGGATGCACTGTGTCAAACCTAAATACATTAATTTTGTCCTATCAACCTGAACAAAAGCTTTCTTGAAATCAACGAACAAACAGCAAAATTTACCTCCTTTTTTCCTTAAATATTTATGTGCCAGTAAAAGGAGAACAAATATATTATCAATAGGGGAATGACCCTCTCTAAAACCAAACTGTGATTCGGATATGCAATTTTGAACTTCAAACCAAGAAGTAAGTCTTATTAATTACTGATGTAAAGATTTTCCCCATAATATTTAGGAGGGTGATACCTCTATAATAACTTGGGTCAGTTCTACTTCCTTGCTTAAAGAGAGTGGGAATAAGCCTATTATTCCAAGCCTGTGGAAAATATCCGTTCTTTAATACTTCATTAAATAGTATTAATAAATAAGGCATTATGATATTACAAAATTCTTTAAATATTTCTGGTGGGAGACCATCAATTCCTGGAGATTTCCGAGTTTTCAATTTGTTCAATGCATGTTTAATTTCTTCTTCAGTTATTACACCTCCTATGAAGTCATCACACTGTGCACATTTCTCGCAATTAGCAAAATTATGATCTAGAATGTAATTCTTGACATATTCGTTAAACGCTCCATCCGATTCTATCTCTGGATTTCAAAGTCTCTTAAAATAGGTCAGCCATTCTTCTCCTGATATTTCTTGCCTTCATTGTTGGTAAGATCCACACAGTTTCTTAATTAGTTTCCAGAATAGTTTACAATCTTTGTATTGTGCTGCTTTAGAAATATCCTCCATAATCTTATTCTCGAAGTCCTTTTTCTTCTGTTTGCAAAAACTACTAAACTGATTCTTTAAACATATATATTCTGCATAATTTTCAGTATTATTGGTTTTTCAAAAACGGTTTAACGTTTTATATTTGTTCTTTTTAGCACTGTGGCAGCTCTTGTCGAACCATTGTGGTTGCTGGTTATAAATATTATTATATGACAACTAATATGTATAAAGTGAATTTATTTTTTAATAACAAAAGATTAGGAACATTGAAAGTTTGGTGTACCTAAGTGTGTGTGTGTGTGTGTGTGTGTGTGTGTGTGTGTGTGTGTGTGTGTGTGTGTGTGTGTGTGTGTGTGTGTGTGTGTGTGTGGGTGGGTGTGGGTGGGTGTGGGTGTGGGTGTGGGTGTGGGTGTGTGTGTGTGCCTGAGTGTATTTGTGTGTGCGTGCGTGCGTTCGTGCGTGTGTGCCTGCCTGAGTGTTTGTGTGTGTTTGTAGGGTTGCGTAAGTGTAGGTGTCGGGGTATTCTTGTTTATGTTATTTTAATAGTTCTTTTACAAAATATTGCACAATAAGAACTGCTATGATTTTTAATGTCTAGCGAATATCTGCCATAATAGCTAGCCAATGTCTGCTTTTATATTCTACAACGACGGAGAAACATGTTTGATCACTAATGTTATACTAATATTTGTATATAGGTTGCGTGTTACATGTTACTACAGTATCTCATAATTCCATAAGGAATCTCATGAATGAATGAATGAATGAATGAATGAATGAATGAATGAATGAATGAATGAATGAATGAATATAAAAAAATAAATAAACAAACAAACAAACAAACAAATAAATGAATAAATGAATAAATAAACAAGATATAATATTTTATTTGTCTGTCTTTTGGATCATACTGATACGTCATACAATGAACGTGTCACTGTCTTACCAGTAAAACATAGTGGAAAATATTAAAAATAAGTTGATAAAACGTAACGAAATGATCATTTCCGTGGGACCTTTAAGATTATACTTTACTATATATGGTTTACATAACAACATGCATCTAACTTATAAAAGTCACCACGCGTGTTCGGAATTAAAGTTCACTGTCTGTCGTTAATAATCCGAACACAGATGTATCCGATTAGCTTCCCTTAAGTAACTTTTGTCAATTGTTATACTCAGCTAATTTGGCCTTGTGTAATTTCAATTAAGCAGGTGCCGCTTCCAATCTGATGTCCTTAGGAACGTCCCCCACCGTCACAGCATTCTATCACGCTGTCACGTGACCTTAAAAAACAAGACTGTGCTACGTGACCTAACAAAAACAAGACTGTGGCTGTCTGGAAGGTAACTTCTCACGCTGCCTACACTTTTTTTGTAGGCAGACTGAGTATAAATTAGTAATTAGTGTAGGCAGACTGAGAGTAGTGAAATGCTATCTTACCTGGTGAAAAATGGAAAGGTCCACAATGTAACAGCGAGAGAAAAGGAAGATGTTGCTTTATAAATGAAATTGTCTACAATTTCACAGTTTAGAATAAGATGTTTCTTTACATACATGTGGTATGAGTAGATTAAAAAACAACATCGGCCCCACGGCCTTTCAGACACAAAATAATTTCAAGGTTAATGTGAGACATGACAATGTTTCTTTGTTTGTTTTGATTGGTTAACAAAATACTTTATTAAGTTTCAATGCCTTCTCAGTTAACTCAAATTTATTCAAAGTTATTCTCACATTAACTCAGAGATCAAACACTTACTTATCTACTTTGTTTGTTTTTATTAGTTAATCCTATTCACACTTTTACTCACATTGTTAACCTATAACTTTATTTCAAGGAGTATTTTATTCTAAAAAACCTGAATTAGTACAAAATGTGTGTGTGAAACTTTGGTGACAGTGTTATGATGGCTGCGTTACAGAAAGTTGAGTTCATCACTTCTCAGGCTGGAGGTCAGCACGTCTTCTTTGGAGGCTTCAGGTATCGCCTGAACAACCGCCGACAGACTGCAACTCACTGGAAGTGTGTCTTGTCTAACGGTCTTGGGAAAATTAGCACAGTTGGTGCATTTGTTCGAAATTCATCCCCTCACAACCACGAATTTTTTTAAGACGACACAACCTTACGCCTCATGAGTAATCTACGACGTTGGTGTTTGTTCCAGGAGAGTATACAGAGACTTAGACTCGCGTCTTCAGACACTGAAAGTGGAGCTGTTGCAAGGACAGATGACCTCTATGTTGGTTGTTCTCTGGCAGTCACTGTGTGTCCATCATCCCTATGTTGGTTATTCTCTTGCCGTCATTGTATGTCAATCATTCCTATGTTGATTGTTCTCTGGCAGTCACTGTGTGTCCATCATCCCTATGTTGATTGTTCTTTGCAGTCACTGTATCTCCATCCTACCTATGGTGGTTGTTCTATGACAGTCACTGTATCTCCACCCCCCATCCCCCTATACTGATTGTTCTCTGGCAGTCACTGTATGTCAATCATGCCTATGGTAGTTGATCTCCTGCCGTCACTGTATCACCATTATCTCTATGTTGGTTGTTCTCTTGCCGTCACTGTATCTCCATCATCCATTTTATCCCGGCCGTCACCTGTCCCTGCATCCCAAACATGTGACTTGATTCAATGATCCTCCCCTTTATACTAAATATCAGATTGTTTGCCATGGTAACACAGTACCTGGTACGTTTTCCCCTAACAACGCAAACCTACGCTTCAAGAAAAGCCGCGATGTAACTGGAATACTGTTAAAAGCGGCGTTAAACCCAACGCACTCACTCACTCCAATAAAAGAAAAAGAAAACATGTAACCATTGATACAAGTACATCTTGACATGTAAATAATATCATCTTGTTATAAAGCTGGTGTATATTAATCACGTTTCATACAGTGAGTACATGTAAGGATTAGACTCTTCAATTTTACCCACCGTCAAACCAAGCTGCCAAGATACCAATATGTGTATTTTGGAACATGTAACCTTGAACTATCAGTAACCTGAGATTGATTAACAACAGTTATCATGAATATATTCTAAGGAATACGAATTTAATGCATCCATTTATGGAGGTCCATTTGTTTATTAACGATACTATCGCATGTTAAATCACCATTATAATATGAGCTATCAATACAGTTGGCTGAATGTTATTGTGTACTCCCCTAATTCCAATTGCTTCCATTGTCTGTGTTAATGATGTTGTTGTGATTTGATATTTAATATGTAGGTTTTAATTAGCTTAATTGGATTGTTCTTACAAGTATATAAGCTAGACCTTATCACCTGCAGGCATCGGGCATCGGATCCATGTTTTCAGAAAGACAGGAATTGGTAAGTCATACTCTTATGTTTTAGTCGAGAAAACGACTAGTTAACTGGTCTGCTTCATATGTATTTATGTTGTGTATTCTAAGGGCATGTAGATGATAGATTACTTCAGACCTAGAGATGATACGTGTATTTCAGACGTAGAAGATACATACGCCACTCGTACAGGTGTTATGTATTCTTTGGTCAAAGTCCCGTGGTTTTCCCGGGTTAAACAAGCTCCGCAGCAACTTCTGCTGGTCGTAAGAGGCTACCGAATTCACCAGGCTCGATGGTTGATTGCGTGTCATTCTGACGGCGTGGATATTGTGCACAATGCCGATTACTGGAGTGCCTGGTCCAGACCCTATTGTTTTACATGCTGCCATTATATAGCTGAAATATTGCCGAGTGCGGCGTAAAACAACACACAAACAAACTTAAGTCAAAGAGGTATATTTAAGATACATAAGTGACATGTACACTTAAAGCATATATGCGGTATATATACCAAGGGAAAAGATTGGATATATATGCTTTAGGTAGAAAATGGTATGTTAACGTAAGGACATGCAGGTTGTATGGACATGTAGGTGTTATGGACATATAGGTGTTATGGACATGTAGGTCTTGTGTATGCTGCGAGAGATGTATATATATAGAGAGAGAGCAGTGTAGATAACCTGTTACCAAGTACAAATATGCTTGCATACATCTTGTAGGATGACAATACCTTGAACGTTCGCTGTCACAGAACAGGGCCTTCCTATTCATGTAATTCTGTTATTTACATTATGTTATTTTCTGGTATATCTGACCTGTATTCAGGTCAAAATGTTAGCCATTACAACACTATACGTCATTTGAATGTTACCTTCTGGTGTATCTGACCTGTATTACTTATATTGCAGCTCAAAATGTCAAAGAGGTATATTTAAGATACATAAGTGACATGTACACTTAAAGCATATATGCGGTATATATACCAAGGGAAAAGATTGGATATATATGCTTTAGGTAGAAAATGGTATGTTAACGTAAGGACATGCAGATTGTATGGACATGTAGGTGTTATGGACATATAGGTGTTATGGACATATAGGTGTTATGGACATGTAGGTCTTGTGTATGCTGCGAGAGATGTATATATATAGAGCAGTGTAGATAACCTGTTTCCAAGTACAAATATGCTTGCATACATCTTGTAGGATGACAATACCTTGAAGGTTCGCTGTCACTATAAGAACAGGGCCTTCCTATTCATGTAATTCTGTTATTTACATTATGTTTTTTTCTGGTATATCTGACCTGTATTCAGGTAAAAATGTTAGCCATTACAACACTATACGTCATTTGAATGTTACCTTCTGGTGTATCTGACCTGTATTACTTATATTGCAGCTCAAAATGTCAGCTATCACTTTGCTGTTGGTTCTCTCCCTGGCAGCCCTGGGGTCTGCTGTCACCCCCGGGGTGACTACATGTACGTGGTTATCACATACAACACAGATACAACACACAGGTTCACTAATTATCTGACGACACACCTATTAAAGAATCAAGGAGATATATCCGTCAGCCTTGACCTCTTCTAAAGCTTAAAAAAGCATGAGCAGGATGTGATTAATACCGTGACGTCACTCCTCCACTGCCATTTCAATAAACACTATTCAACAGAAGACGGGATATTTTACATTCTAATGCTTCCTGTTTCCCAAAACTGGATTTCAATTACTTTTTTCCTAATTTAGATTGCTTATTCCTATCCCATTGTTGACCGAAGTTATTAGTACTTGTTACTTCTTTATACCGAACGGATGTCTTGTACAAGGAATAAAAGGAATCGTTCATTCACTCACACACCCTTTGACTAAAAGTGGATTTTCCTTATATCGGTCTGTTCACAGTTACCCTCGAGTACGAGAAGACAGAGGACGGCTGTATCGTAGATGGAGTTCCGAGAAAGGAGGATGAAACCTTCACCGTCACAGGATCCGGCCCCTGCATCACCTACAGGTGCCGAAAAAGAAAGGTCCGCCTGGTGACAGGATCCTCATGTAAGTGCTGACTCAGTGTCACCTGAACACCTGTGTTGTTAACACAGACCCATTCTTAACTGATTACGCCAATCTTTTGAAATCTCAAGCTGCACATTCTCACTAAAATCAAACCTTAATTTTCGCTTCCACTAACAATGGGTTTTAGGACATCTAATTACGATTCACGTCAGAAGGACCTTTCATACGACCAATCAGAGTGTTTCTTACCAGATCAGGAAAGTAACAGTAAGAATACGTTTTCTAATTATGCAACCGAAAATGGTTTTCCGAACGACAGTAACGGGCTTTATGACTAAATCCATACAGTCTAGGCCATCTATTCGCTATTTCAGAATGTTGATTTGTACAGGTTTTAAAGTTTTAATCGAGAATTTGTCAAAAACTGTTTTGAAGTGTAGTCGCCAATTTGAAACTATTACTGTAAAGCAGTCAGTCATTCCATTGGCCGGTCAAAGTCTGCGAAAGGTCGGTCTGACGTGACCCGTAATGTCCTCAGATCTTTGCTTAGCGGTAGCGAGAACTAAGATCTGATTTTATTGAGTTTGCTAAGTGCAATAGTTTTCAAAGGATCGTACGTCCGGTTGAAAATCATTGTTTTAGAACTTGTGGTCAGTTTAGCTTTGTTGATCTAGCTAAGTCTACGATTTGTTTTTCAGCATGCCAAGATGGCGACACCTGCAACTCTGGAGAGTTCACTTCCGGCTGTAACACGTACACCTGTGCTGTAGCCGGTCAGACGAAGAGGAATGATCAACAGGTTATCGTCACACAGACTGTCGCACTTGTTGGAACAGGTACTGTATTATACTCGTCACGTTTATGTCCTAGATGAAGAAACTGTTCACTGGAGTTCAATGCTGGCTAATCGAGGCGCTGAGGAACAGAAAACTTTCAATTGTGAAAGTTATTGACAATTAGTAGATGTTCTTTTAAAGGCCAGCAAGTTTGATATTAGTCGTTTCGGCTAACTCTAAACGTTAATGTATATCTCACAGTCTAACAGTTACTGGTTACCTTTCGTACACAGATGCACTGAATCAGTTTCACACAAGCAACAAATTTATACGTCTAAACACAGGCTAAACATTGCTGATGAATCTCAGAGCATCTCCCCCTTTAAAACATATAAATAACGCTTTCTGTAGTGCAGTGACCTTTTAACTGCATGATTATTAGAAGACAGAATTGACCTTGTGTAAAACATGTTTCTGCAGAAGAAACGTTCAATACAAAAGTTTATCCTTGAGTGACACCACCTCATGATGTCATTATTTCCAGTTATACAGTGTCGTGTGGTTCTATGAAGGACACAGTTTGTTCTTAATGATCGACCTTGGTCTGTTACAGATCAATGCTACGTGCGTGGAGGCTGCTACTCTCTCGACACTGAAATACCGACGTCTGCAGGGACGTGTGTGTGTGCCAGCTCCACCGACATCACATGTGAACCCAACTTGCTGGTCGACCCTTCGGTTTATGGCCAACTAGGTTAACGAGGAGGGTGACCTTTTGACTGCTAGCTTCTCGGTGGTTGACCCTTGCGCTCACGACCCTCACTGCTCTCGATGAAGTGGTCACTATAGTTCTCAACACACCTGAGAAGAATCTGCTGCACCTGAAATAAAGATAACCAGTAATATCTCTTGATGCATTTTGTCATTTATGATTCTGTTGGATTACCTGCAGTTCTACATCGAGTGTTAACCAAACTTGGTGGTCGTCACTTCCGCTCGAGGCGCTCTCGATGGTTATCGAGGTGTTTAGATTTAATCCTACTGTGTTCTGCAATTTTATGTATTCTTACTGTAGGGCAGCTTCCTCTTATTTTATTTTGGAACCGAGCACTGTAGGTTAATCTCCATTCTACCATGACGGAAAGCGGCGTAAAAGCCATCTTACTCACACTACCATGACGGCAAGAGCGCTTTGAAAACTCTGCTCTCTTGGAATGCGTAATGAAACATGGGTTCAAAAGTCTAGCATCTTAGAAGACCCTGAAAAGGGGTCACAGGTAGTTGTAAATGCACCCAATAATACTAAAGTTCCAGGTTAAAATAATAATAGTATTGACGAGTTAATCTTTCAAAACGCATAGTTTTCAAAAAGAAGTTGCGAATAACCCTCCAAAGATAAATGCTTTAATTTCATCGAAATATGATGCATATTTGCACTTCTTGGAGTCAACCAAGACATTACTTGGAAATGAGCTCAACAAGTCATTTCTTGGAAATCAAGATGACATCTCCCATTGTGGGGGTGACAGGTTGTAGAAAAAGTGACAAAAACGCTGAACGAATATATTTCTCCAACAAACCTAATTAAATAACAGGACTTTAGTTACTTGAAAATGTCGATCCTGACTACCTTCCGTTTGCTGTCCATGGCTGCCAAAATAGTTGTTCACGGTGACAGTGTTATTTACAATTTGCATGAACCCAAAGGACAATCTCGATCTGTAGTCTGTACCTGGTGATGCACGTAATCCGTGTATCTCGTAATTCGAGCTTTTCCTAATCCTCGCAACTCGTACTTCTCTTATCTGTTAATTCGCGCATACCCAGGGACGTACTCATCAGTGACTACCTGTAAACTGTAAAATTGGAAAGTTTTGCGTGCAGGAATGTACTGCGAAAACTGGGAGTGACAGACACTCGTAATGATTTCATGGCGCAATATTTGCCAAGTCAGCAACAAACAAAAGACGAAAGGAGGCATATTTCATTAAATTCACTCCCACATAGGAAGACACCATTAACTGAAAATGCCAACTCTGCTAATTATATGACATTATTTAGGTGATGAATTTCTACTATTTGTATATGTGTCCTTCATTTGAATAAGAGAGAAAACAACTAATTCATAAATATTATTATATGACAACTAACATGTATAAAGTGAATTTATTTTTTAATAACAAAAGATTAGGAACATTGAAAGTTTGGTGTCTATGTACCTAAGCGTGTGTGTGTGCCTGAGTGTATGCGTGCGTGCGTGCCTGCGCGTGCCTGCGTGTGCGTTCATGCGTGTGTGCGTGCGTGTTTGTGTGTGTTTGTAGGGTTGCGTAAGTGTAGGTGTGGGGGTCTTCTTGCTTATGTTGTTTTAATAGTTCTTTTACAAAATATAACACAATTAGAACTGCTATGCTTTTTAATGTCTAGTGAATATCTACCATAATAGCTAGCCGATGTCTGCTTTTATATTCTAAAACGACGGAGAAACATGTTGGATCACTAATGTTATATTAGTATTTGTATATAGGTTGCGTATTACATGTTACTACAGTATCTCATAATTCCATAAGGAACCTCCTGTGTAGTTTAATTCAAATTTGTTATTTTAATGTTATCATGTTGTAAATGAGATGGAACAATAAATAAATAAATAAATAAATAAATAAATAAATAAATTAATAAATAAATAAATAAATAAATAAATAAATAAATGAATGAATGAATGAATGAATGAATGAATGAATGAATGAATGAATGAACAAACAAATAAGATATAATATTCTGTTTGTCTGTCTGTCTATTAAACACTTTTTGATCATACTGATACGTCATACAATGAACGTGTCACTATCTCACCAGTAAAACATAGTGGTAAATATTAAAAATAAGTTGATAAAACATAACGCAATGATCATTTCCGTGGGACCTTAAAGCTTAAACTTTACTAAATGGTTTACATAACAACTACATCTAAGTTATAAAAAATCACCACGCGTATTCGGTATTAAAGTTCACTGTCCGTCGTTATTATTCCGGACACAGATTTATCAAATTAGCTTCCCTTTAGTAACTATTGTCAATTGTTATACTCAGCTAATTTGGCCTTGTGTAATTTCAATTAAGCAGGTGCCGCTTTCAACTGATGTCCTCAGGAACGTCCCCCACCGTCACAGAATCCTATCACGGTGTTACGTGACCTTAAAAAAACAGGACTGTGCTACGTGACCTTAAAAAAGCAAGACTGTGGCTGTCTGGAAGATTTAGAGTGTGAAACTCATGTACTCACATACGATTAAACTATATGTATGTATGAATCGAGCATCGCAAACAGCTAAACACACTATGCAAATACAAGGGGACGCTTTGTACGACTGCTTTCATTATACATTTCACCCCAACTAGCGTATTTCCCTGTGTACAGACTGCGGGTGTTCTCTACTTTCGTTTAACGGTCATGCATTGTGCACGTGTTCTCCCACAGGCTAAGTTTGAGCGAATTAATTTCTACTTCCACACCTTTCTTGGAAAGAGCAGTCAGGCGAAATGGGGTTAACAACGCGTCGAAGATGATTGCACTTATATAGCGACATGCATGCACGTTTGTGCGCACGCACGCGTGTGTGTTTGTGTGTGCGTGCGTGCGTGCGTGTGTGCGTGTGTGTGTGTTTACTTTATAGTGCCAGCCCACTGAGATACCATGCCGCAGTTTAACATGAAAATCCCATTCTGACACAGTATACTGACACCGAGCCGACCAGTTCTTGCTTAACCCTTTAACGCCGAGCGCCAGACAGGGTAACAAGAAGGTAGTTTTGGTATGACGCGGCCGGGGATCGAACCTAGGACCGTCTGCTCTCCGGGCAGACGCTCTACCAAAAGACAGTCGAGGCGGTGGTTGGAATGAGCACGTTTGATTAACAATTCATGACGTTAGTATAATCCCGTAAAGAACTTGTTATTCACTAATTCATCCGTGATATGAAAAAAAGAGCCTCTTGATGACGAACGAATAATTCTAAAAAAGTATTATAGACAGTCTTGTACCTTGGAATGAAATTCTCCAAATTGCGTGCATTTCAAAATGTCGTGTATTTGCCACATCATTCATTGTCACGAATCAATCCTAATTATCATTAAATGTCTACGAAATTGTGACACTTATCTATCAAGATATAACATTAAATGTAAAACTCGATTTAGTAATATCAATACGTATATCAATAAATGAATTATTAATAGCGTACAAAATAAATGGTACAACGGATCTATATGCGGTACACACTGCCACCATTATAATACACAGGATATGTGTGGGGCCAGGCACAGCTCGTGCACAATTTCAGCTTTCGATTTCAATACCCTGGACGACCTTGATGGACCCGCGTTGACCAAGGCATAACCCTGTTTAATTTTGGCTGACCAGTGTTAGTACATATATTAACTGGGGTACGTTTTCGCGACTTGACCAAAGGCAACTGGCCATGGACCGAGTTTCGGAGGCCGCGATCTTGGCCGGTGCGAAAACGACTTTCACTTTGACCGTATCGCTGAACTCAATACAAAATGGCAAATGGAGGAACTAACAGTACTGTTTGGTCCCATTGGCTGAAATTATCAATGAGTCGAACCAGTTGTAATTATATTTCAAAATAACCGCCCCTATCTGTTGTTTTCTTAATTCGTCTGTCTTTCCAAAATTTACATTTTATGACCGATTCTTCTTCGGAAAATGTTAACGGCACAGGCTACAGGTTACACACAACCAAATGTTTACCCATAGACTTCTATAGTAATGTTGTATTGTTCTAACAAAATCACTAAATATTCAAAAACTATTACATGTACGTGTGTGCACAGTTTGGCCTTAGAGCAACAATAAAAACAAAACAAATGACAAGCTTAGCCAGCTCCTCTTCCGAGCACGGGAAGCTGAACACACCACCCCCAGTGTGTCACATTCAGCATAAGTCATCATGTTGAAAAAGACAGCACTAAATATAGAAAAAAACACGGTCAGTTTTAATTACTGGATAGAATCATTAACATCTTAACCCCTGAAGATCCGGGGTAGAATAGGTCTTCAGCAACCCATGCTCGCCGTAAAATGTGACTATGCTTGTTGTAAGAGGCGACTAACGGATTGGGTGGTCAGGCTCGCTGACTTGGTTGATGCATGTCAGCGATCCGAATTGCGTGGATCGATGCTCATGATATTTAATCACTGGATTGTCTGGTCCAGACTCGATTATTTACAAACCGTCGTCATATAGCTGGAATATTGCCGAGTGCGGCGTTAAACAACAAACAGGCAAACAAGACGCGCCAGCCCACGTGTTTGTGTGGAATGTATTGAATAGCAAGGGGCGGGTCGTTATGGTCATATTTATATTGTTGTGTGGCGACATATGTTCATGATTGTGAATTAATACGACTATTTCACGGCCCATTGAGTAATGTAGACACACAGCAGATAAACGATTGACGTGCGATCAATTCATCAGCGTCAGAGCCTGTCTTTATATGTGACCCATATATCAGCCAACGGATACTGTTGTATTGAGATTCGGCTCCTAAAATGGATCTCAATTGTTGCAGTTCTATCTGTAATGATCTGGGATCGGCAATACATTGTGTCATCTACCAGGCAATCAATCGCCATAAAAAATGGGAAGAACTTTGGGATCGCACTTGTTTTCGAAATTTAAAGTTTTCTTAGTTAAAGAGATTAATAAAATTAATTTCGTCACAAGAAGCATTTTTAGTGGTATTTATTTCATTTCACATGAATATTGTCCGGTAGGGGGGGGGGGTTTCGGCGATCTGGGGTCCGGATAAGCGGGTTCCACAGCATTCATGTTTCTTATCACAACCACACAATCGCGTTTATGTCGCCGAAGAACAAACTGTCTTCACAATGCTCCAAGCGCTAATAGTAGATTATCGTGCACTCGATTTTCACTCTCAGCTCCCTGGGGAAAATACAGCAAAAGCTGCTTGTCAGGCGCGAGAAATAAACAGTCACATCACCTCCTACCGGGTACCCATTTGCTGATGTATTTAGTTAATCATTTCCAGGTTCTAAAGGAAATAACTCGCTCTTTGTGTTTTAGAGTAGCATTGTATTCGTAATATCAAGCGAATAGGACAGTCCAAGTAACGTTACAATTCATAAACATTCTCAAATGACAGTGTAATTCCTATAAAAGTGTAATAATGACATTATCGCGGTGAATTTGCGGTTAGAATGAGTCCCAAGAAGCCCCAATGTGCCCCATGTTTAGGCCAGGGTGATCTCGATGTGTTACCGATTGTGTACAGATTGCGTGTATTGCTGCTCATGGTATCAACCACTGGTTCGCCTGACCTGGCCTAAAACCATAATTCATTCTCTCCTGTAAACTGTATGGCAGTGAATGAGGTATGAGATCATGGAGGTCATCACTAATGTCGGTCAAGTAATGTCCCCTCTCTCTCTCTCTCACCCCTCCTCTCTCTCTCTCCCGCTCTCTCTCAATCTCTTTCTCTCCCTTTCTCCCTCCATCCCTCCACTCTCTCTCAACTCCCCTCTCTCTATCCCCTATCTCTCGTATGTGAAAAGAGAAGGTAAATGTGTAATTGAAAACATCTTCACACACGTGACCCCAACCACAGATGCAATATGTATGTCCATGATGCACACCAGTAGTAAGTTCACCTAAATTCTTTAAAATTTGAACATGAGCTGTAGTATGGAAAAACTAGGTCCAGATCGGGGCAAGTCAATAATCGCTAAAAGTTCATTCAGCTCCTCGACTCTTGATAAATGTTACGTTAATGTGATATGAGGACCTCTGACAGTAGCGTCAACAGAAATACTGTTTCCCCCAAAGTCAAAGTACAGAGAGGTTGAGTAAACAAACCCATTCCACCTTTGGTCGGTTAATTTTATTAATCGATGACACACACAACTAAGTTTTGATAAAGCTCAAGAACACATAAATGCCGTAATGGCGCCATATGGCATAGGATGCCAATTATATGCCGTTTATCACCGCCACCTTGTATACGACAAAATCATTTAATGACTTACGCTCTGGGTGAGGTCAGATATTTAAGGAGTGTTCGCCCACAGTAACACCTGCAAAGGCTTTGTGTTGAGTTATCCAGCAGAATTGATTACGTATAAATGTAACGGTTTGGGAGTACACTTTCATTGCTTCACTTATTGCGTCGAGAGGAGACGTCGGAGAAAAGTGTTCCGTTTCCTGAACAGGTAAGCTGAACTAGAGTGTGTGTCTGAGGGTCTGTGGATCTAACTCTCATTGCTTGTGTCTGAGTACAGGTCTGTGTGCTTACTAGTATCGATTTGAGGTTCTGTTTGACTGTCTTTGGGTACTAGTTCCTCTGACACGTTAGTTTGTGTGTTTCTGTCAGCGTCTCACAGTAGTGACTTATCTGACTCTTTGGTGAGGTGGTGAAATTGGGATTAACGTCGCGTCTTACATAGCGACCTAAATGCACGTGTGTGTGTGTGTGGCTTCTTGTATTAGTCCGGACTGATGCCGATTTATAATGCCAGCACACTGAGATACCATGCCGCAGTTACATGAATACACCACTCAGACACAGTATAGTGACTCCGAGCCGACCAGTCCTTGTTTTAACCCCTTTATGTCGAGTGCCAGACAGGGTAACAACAAGTACCACCTTTTAACGTCTTTTGGTAAGACGCGGCCGGGGATCGAACCCCGGGGCTTCCGCTCCCCGGGCAGACGCTCTACCACTAGACCGTGGAGGCGGCCATATCTGACTCTTTGATTGTGTGAGTCCATTTGACTGACTTGAAGTATACTTTTATCTGACACTCTTTATGCACTGCGTGTGCTTATCCGACAGTCTCTTGAAGTAGTAGTCTGACTCTCACACATTCGTGACCAACTGGTGTTATTCCGGGATCAGCCGAATAGCGACTCGTGCCCCTCTAGTGGCCATTTTTTGCAGCTGGGTTCCGTCTTTGCACAAACGAGCATAGCTAAAAGAATTTTCAACTCGTTGCGTAATAATTCACGTATATTTTCCCCATACATATTTCCAGATGATACTTAAAACACATCGGGATTTCCGGTATTATACAGCATGTTTAAACACATTAGGCTGTATGTTACGGTGGCCCATAAGGGACATAAGGGACATGGAGACTTACTTTTATCGTAACCTTTTGCATATTAACACAATTTGTCATATAAAAATGTGATAAATCATGTATAAAAACAACCGAAAACATGGAAAATGTACTTTCAAGTAGCTATTGAGTCGCTGAAATGTGAAGCGAAAATGTCAAAAACTAAAATGGAAATGTCAAAAACCAAAACGAAAATGCCAAAACTAAAATGAAACCACAAAAAACTATTTCCATAGCGGTGATAATATTCCGTTTTCTGTATTTTCATTTTAGTTTTTGACATTTTCGCTTTTGTTTTTGACATTTTCATTTTAGTTTTTGACATTTTCGTTTCACTTTTCAGCGATTCGATATCTTCAATTTACACATGATTTATCACATATTTATAAGACAAATCGTGTTAATTTGCAAAAGGTTACGATAAAAGTAAGTGAAATATCAACATATTGAAAAACAGACTCCATGTCCCTTATGGGCCACCGTAGTATGTCGGGTAATGGTTTTACATGCAAGACAATATGTAAGTTCAAAAAGTATTCCTGAGGGATTTTTTGCCTGAAGTACTTGAAGTCATACGCGAGGTCTGATTGCTTTGTCGTACTTTCGCACATAACATTCATCGATAGGAGGGCGAGACTTCTTGCAGGTTACTGAAAGGTGCGAGTGGTGATGAATGACACTCACAATAACTAAAATGTCATGAGCGTTCACTGTATTACCTATTTCAATTTCATTACAGTACAGGGCGAACACACTCCCCTTTCCGTTCTTTCCTTACCTCTGTCCATCAGAATATGCCCACGTGCCATGATCTCGCTTGAGCCAAACAACCTCCTCAGGACGTAATAACTAATACAGCCTGGAATTCTCTAAATAATCAATTCGTCATTGACAAAAGAGAATTTACTTTAACAATTGTAGTATGAATAATAGCTTCAATATATTGGCCTTTGACATGACGTACTTGGTCATGTCACCTCGCCATGTCAACCGCGAAATATTCCAAATTGATTCCATCTCAAAGATGTCAAATGTGAGAATTCAATCAATCCTGCATCAATAGCTCAACTCATAAACCGTCAATAAGTGGAAGTTAATAGTTTATTGTTGCGAGAGACTTGAAATAAATCTTCTTATTATAGCTACTTTCCGGAACTACTTGCCATAACATTGAAGAACTGTTATTTGTCTATTGTGAATCCCCATAATCTATACACCGTTACTTGATGCATTGGGTGTGTCTTCTCATCAACATCCGTTTATCCAATTAACTTTATTTACAATGAAATGTCACCGTGCTCTTTAACACCGATCGATTAGAAATTGTGTTACTGAATAGTGTGAATGTATTCTCATTGAGACTGAATTTCGTATTGACAACATTGCATTGGAATGTTCTTTAGGTCTGTTAGATTTGGATGACGAAATGAGAGAAATTGTCACATTTATTGACTCAATATTCCAACCTTGTAGAACGTGTTGTATTATAGTGTACTGGAAAAGTGTTAAAGCTGCGACTGATGAATCTCGCCGGACAATGTGGAACAATGTCGAACTACATACATATTCAAAATCTTGTAATGGGAAGTTATGGAGCGTCCCTTGTTGAATACAACTTTCGAAATACTAGGGAAGCGTTAATCATGCAACGGTGTCTTCGCGTTACGCCGACCATTAGACATTTGGGGTCAAAATTAAGGTCGGCAAAACGCGAAAAATTGCAGTTGGGTTGTTAACTGGGGATTAAGAGAACAATGAAATTAGTGCGTGTGATTTTAACTTTTAATCCGGATTATCTTTATGGTAGGACAGAATTCGGGTTCAGGTGAACACTTGTGAGAAGAAAATGATTGAACATCTCACATTTGAGAAGAAAATGATTGAACATCTCAGCTGATTAAGATATGAACTGTGTTCACGTGTCATATACATATGTATATATAAATGGAGCGCATTCCAGACGATCAAAGATGTCAAAGACTTGCCGACTACATGACCAGCCAATGGATCGAGGACGATCTCCACATCCACCACTGGAACCACTTCAACATCGATGGGCCATGTACAAGAAGATCGCGGGAAAGGCACATCCCAACATTTTCGAGATGATTACCTTCCTTCCCAAAGAGCAGAACTCATCAGAAATTCACAGAGGTGAGTACGAAGCAGGACAGAAAAGACATCCCAAGAAGATGAAATACTCAGCAAGATCAAGATCGCCGATTTGAAGATGAGGTTGGGGAGGCAAGAAATCGACATCATCCACTATGCCGATGTTGCATCTGCCATTCTTATCAAGTTAATAAAATGTTCATGTAAATCATGTTCTGTTCGTTGTACCAAAATTGAAATGTATCAACTGTTGCCTGATCATGTCGCAGTTTTTGATACAATATAATGTGTGGAATAAACGACACAAAAATTTATCATAAGTCTGTTATGTTTCTACTGTTAGAATGTGTCCTGAACACCATTCAAAAACACCATTCATTGCGTGCTTGTAACAACCTCGTGTGTTAACATAACACGCACATATCATCAAAGAAAAACCGCTGGTCGGCGTGACGCGAATCATTTTTTTCTGAAAGTTGGCGTTACGCGAATGAACCCATTCAACACTGGTGATGTAACTAACGATGTGGCAGACTTTATATAAACAAACTAAACACAAACAAAACTGAAGCTCACCACCACTCGCGTCGTACAGAAGCCGTTGTCGTACATGAGTCGCGACGGCTATTTTCAACGGCTGTTATTTTATCAACGTTACACGCTTTCCACGATTTGTTTTCTTGGCAACTTTAAAGAGTCAGTTACAACGCAGCTCTGTTGCACTGAAACTGTGCTGTTGCAGATATAATTAATCAAATTATTGAGTCAGCCCCGTACACTGGAGGAACCATGGTTTGTCAGCAGCATTCCAGTGTATTTCATCAGCGGGTACATGTAAACGTCCTGCATTAACTGACATATTGTTCAAAGTGGGGTTGAAGGAAGCTGTATGTGTGGATACCCAAAGGATGGAGGCCTCAAATTCATCACCTTAACACGTCCAACTCGCTGTTTTCCAATTTCGCACTCGACACCAGTGCCATAACTATCGGTACAACATCTTGTGTGGACGTATCGCGGACATCAAACAAGGTATTTGTATAAACCGTCAGTGTTACACGAAAACCACACCAAAAGGAGTCGTGGATCCAGAGCTGTATTTGGTATTTAAGTACCGTCGTTGAAGGGACGTCGTTTTAATTATGGATTATACGCACTTTGATAAAATACGCTCTTCCAATTCTGTATAAGTGATCGGAGACGAGATGATATCATGTTGCACACTCAAGAACTATAACAGGTTAAGTTGTGGGATTCTTGAAGCTACAGACGTCAATGCAAATGTCAATTTTGAGAATTAAAATTACGAGTGAAGGTCGGGAATCTTGATCCAATTAATTTTCGAAACTTGGTAACTAATTTTTTTTAAATCCGGTAAATGAATAATGTCATTTTAAGATAAACTAATACAGTCAATGTGTGATTACAGATGCATTTACTACACTTACTTATCGTCATTCATACACACTTTTCTCTTTTAATTTGTTCTTGTCTGATGCTGAATAGAGCTGGCTAGACTTGTTTTGTTTATAATCTAAATTTAGGTTTCATGAAATATATAATCATATGATATAGTTTCGGGGCAGGACTATTTCATATACATTTACAAAGATTGTATCCTTATTGTTCCATAATCTTCAATCTGTCAGTCCCTTGTGTTTTCATTGGTTTGTTTTCTTAAAAATCGGAAATATTTTTTGAAATCTGAAACAGAAAAATAAGATATGATTCATGGCAATCATATTTCACCAGGTTCCTCTTCTTTTTTTCAAGGTCGGGTATTATTGGGTCGACGAAAAACTATTTTGGCTACATGGCCATGTTTGTTTTCCAGGTAATCATGTACAGCACCTACCTGTCCATAGCGGCCACCTGCCTTATCTGGGCGGCTGTTGAAAGCCATGTGGGACCCGGTATTGCTGCTCCGGGAACACATGACCGTAAGTCGTGCAGTTGTTTTGAGAGTCTCCGTGGTAGGAAATTAGTTAAAACTGGCTTGATGGGCTCCAGACAGAAACAACGTGAAAGTTTAGTGAACGAGAAACTGGTGTACGTTACGTTCAGTGAGTGAGTGAGTTAAGATTTAACGTTATTTCAGCCATATCGTGACGAGAAGTACATTAATAATACATAGATTTATACTAAATAAAAAGCTGTCAACGAAGGACAGTACAATAACTAGGATATCACAGATTCGATTTAAAACTGTTTGACAATATATAAAAGCCATAAGTATCAGTGAACAACACAATATAAAAATGGGCTAGGGATCGTCAGTAACTAAAGGGAGATCACCATACTAGGGACCATGGGCGTTACGTTCAGCAATATATAGAGGATATTATATGAGTGGTCATGTCATACTATGTTTTCGAAACGAGTGGCTAAATTACGGTATTTAGGAATTTGATAACGGAATTTAGGCACGAATGTCGTAAACAAAGTATACAGGAACACGAATATAATGTTCTATTTATCACCGACGAAGATGTCTACATACAGAGACGAGTGTTAGTGTTTACCTATAAGGACAGCAAGTCGCAGCAGCAGCGGTACCACAAATTGTCGAATGACGTCAACAATCTTCAGGTATGACGTCGTTTCTAGTGTGACGTCATTCCGATTTAACGATACAATAAAATTCGAATGACGTCCGGATGACGGAAACAATACACTGTTGTCTCGTGACGTGATATGACCCTAGAGCACATATGATTTTTATGAACCCCGATCTGTTTGTCCTCGTAGATAATAACAAGATTTAGGGAAATCGTAGGTAATAACAAGATGAATTACCTACGAGGGCAAACATATCGGGGTTAACGAAAATCACACAAACAATACGGGGATTCCGTCACAAACTGTTCGGACCCAAATAATATGGGAATTCCAACACAAAAAGTTTTCGAAACTTAGCACCATGGGAATTTGAGCCCAGAGAGTACGGGGAATCGAACCAAAAGAGTAAGGGAATTCCGACACAAACAGTACGGGGATTTGGACAGAAAGAATAACGGGAATCGGACATAGACATTATGGGGATTCGGTCGATATTAACACCGATAGTTCAACTTTCAGCCAGGACTGACACAGTTCCCATCTGCGCACATGTGTGTCAACCTTTATGTTTTCTGTCTCAGGTCATTTTATTTCTAAAACGGCCTAACCGACTAAATTCACATGTGCGTAAGTTACAAGGAATACCTAACACAAGCAATCAAATACCATATAAGAGAGTGTCATGACATTCAAGCAAATCAATGCCTTGACTGTGTTACCGTATTTTATGCTCTTTTACACAGCCATCCAAGTTAAGGGTGTTCTTCATTTTAAGCTAAGGGTTTGGAATAGTGTTTACAGTATTTGAACTGTTAGATTTTCTTTTTACGCTACTTAAAGGTAATTTCAGTACAGTTAGATTTTTTATTCCGATGAGATACTTATTATGTGAAGATCTGCTACACCTCAAATGGGGGTTACACCATGGCCCACATGCACAAAACGATCTTAGCGCTACGACTATTGTAAGCCTATGTTAAAGTATGGGAGTTATGATCATCTGAGCGCTAAGATCGCTTTGTGCAAGTAGGCCCTGGTGAACTTTAGCATCAACCAATCAGCATCGAGGCTTCTGAATTCCTGGTACGAGTGTCTTTACAATTGTAGATAAACACAACTCATTTCTGAATCTCGAAAACTAATAAAATTGGAGAGTTCCGGATGCAAATTAAAAAAGCCTCGCCATTTTATTTTATACCTTTTCTTGTTTCTGAGCGCCATGGAATCTACACCGTGTACTATCCAGGGTACAAGTTTTGTTCTGTGTTGGTTTTCTTTTGCTACGATCGACAGTCAAATGAACCCAATTCGTATTAGAAAGCTGACATCTGATTGATTCCAGAACCTACGCATTCTTCATTTAGATTTTGTGGTCAAAGTTCACGCAGGGTTACCTGACGTGACCTTTAATGGATGTCAGATCTTTAAGCAGACAGGCACTGTATCGGACTAACAGATTTGTTTTTAATGAAAATGGCGTATATTTTATTATGTGATAATATTTATTAATTACAAAAAATCCTTGTCATGTCAAAACTTATTCTCTGTATCTTCAGACACCATCCCCTACACAATTGTAAACGGCGCTTGTCACGTGGGCAGTTCCCAACACGCCGTCGGAGATGTCTTCACACACCCCGACTCGGGGGAGTGCATCAAATACAGATGTGAGGCAGGCAAGGTAGTCGTGGATGTAGCTCAGTCGGGTAAGATCAATGATGAGAATGACATACAGTTGTACACGTCATATACGGCTAACCTTTACGTCACTGCATATTTAAAACAGTGAGTACATTAAATTAGGTCACATTCTGATGACTCAGCAGTTTCATTTACAGTTCACATACATCAGTACTGGCATAATGTTTACAATATTATGAATATCGTGTACCTAAGTTCTACACCATGCGGATTCGCGTTCGAATAGGCTCCTAACGCCTTTTGTTGGTCGTAATATGCTATTAGATTAATCGGGTTGTCCGGCTCTGTGCCTTGCGTGACTGCGTGTGACTGTGACCCACGTCGTTACTTACGTCGTTTTCAAGCACAAGTGTTCCTTGTTTCAGAATCGAATATTCAAAAGCCGTCGGGTCACATATAGCTTCAATATTGCTGACTTCAGCCTTAAACAGCCTTTATTTCCCAGCAATAATTGGACATAGAAAAACAATTAGCCAGTGTTATAATATGTCACAGTTAATGACCTTGACCTTTTATTGTTCCAACTTGCACCATCATCAATGGCTTTCGGGTGTGCAATATGTAAACCTTTCCAGTCATCCTACTAAATGTGTTATAGGAACTTTTATAGGCGCTTCCAGCAGGTCATACTTCGCACTCTACCCTGTCACCCAGCTCTTGAAAATGACCGAATGACCATTCATGTATTTCCTGGAAACGGCAAACATTGTCAAAGACAGTGTCTATTGGCCACCTCTAGCTATGGGTAGCTGGTGATAGTGACCTGTTATATATTATACGGACACTAATTGCATTGACAAAAACTGATAAAGATAAGGGAAAGATGGGTTAGAGTGAGTGAGTGAGTGAGTGAGTGAGTGAGTGAGTGAGTGAGTGAGTGAGTGAGTGAGTGAGTGAGTGAGTGAGTGAGTTTGGTTTAACGCCGCTGTGCTGAGTTGCGTCCCTTGGGCACGCCAGAAACCTGTGATTGTGGGTTCGAATCCCGGTTCGCCCCGATTATGTTTCTAGGTTTGTCAGCACCATACCCGTGCTCGTGGGTTTCACCGAAGTGGTAAACGTCTAAGACCTGCATCACTTCGGGCTTTCCTCCCACATTAAGCTGACACGCCGCGATATAACTGGAATACTGTTAAAAGCGGCGTTAAACCCAACTCACTCACTCACTCACTCATTCATGTAATGTCCACAACAACAGATTTCACTTTTACGCAATTCCTTCCATGCGAGGAACAGTGTCAGAGCTTAGCAATCAACCCTCGCACAGAGATACCAGAGTGATAATTTATGGCAGAGTACTGTCATGGAACCAGTGTTAGTAACGGTCTTTTCTCCATGAAACGATGCTTCTTAATGGGTTGCAAAAGAACCCTAGGTATTGATGTCATCGGTGAATGTGTCCATTCTACGGTTGCAACTGGCATGTTTAGAGGTCATGTTTTAATCTAGTGTGATAATTATATTAAGCAAACGTAGCATACATTGGTTGTCTAGCATATGACTGTTTTAATTAAGGTCCAAATAATAAATTATGATAAATTTTTAATCTGAAGTTTACACGATATACGGCTTTTCCATTGAAAGAGAGGCCGGTCACATGACCGCGAAACTGACGTCCATGAGCATATGAACGACACAATTTGCGGTTCATGCGTTTTTCACGAGACTGTATTCTTAAAATGACTTAAACTCTGACGGACTACTTCCACATTCCTGGGGAAGTCCTTGGGAATTCCTCAGCAGGAATACATGCAGGATCGTTGTTTCTGAATCTTCAAATCTTGAACTCTGCTTTTTAGCATACATTGCGAAACACCAGAGAGTGTGTATGCATGATCGTTTACCAATATCCTCGCTTCGACCCATCCTCGTGAACGAAACGTCGAAATGCACATCCCAACTATCGCAGTATTGACTCGGCCCGTGTCTAGATTGACAGTGACAATGTACAGCAATCTATGAATTTACCTCAGTGTCTATTTGAGGCATCTTTAATCACATTTTAATCATCCGCAAGTTGATCAATGATAACCCAAACACGTAACCGCCATAGGTTCATTAACAACTTCGGAAATCTCTCCCGTCACGTTTATCGTGTCAGCCATTTTGAAGTCAAGTACTTGAGGTAAATGTTTTACGACGCGCTGTCGTTGTTACTAACTTACTGAGACAGTTCTTAACAGACCTTTCTCACCCTATGATGGTTGTATTTGAATACATTTCTGGTCAACAAATTACAACATATGTTCCTGTAAAGCAAGTTGAGCATACATACGCTCGAGCCACCTCTCCTTTTGAGGAACTATTTTATTCCGCGATACAGCTGGTTGTTGTATGGCTGTCAGTATAAACATGACGTCACACGTGTTGGTCTAGCGCTTCCCGCCTCAAGGTATAAAATAGTGACATACAACATACGCACTCATCCACTGCACACATTACCTAACACATCAAACCGCATTACAAACCACCCTCAATCTAAACAAGGCTCTAACTCTAGAAGCAATACTAAACCCACAAAATAAACTAGAAAACTTCAAGGCCTTAGGCGTATTCTTAATAAAAACGGAACTAATAAAACGCATCTAAAAACACAATAACCTACCAAATCAAAATCACATAAACAAACAAACACCCACCATACCCAGCTCCCTTAGTTCTCCTCCCCAACCCCATCGGCATCTATTCCAAATCTCAAAATTCCCAAATTCTATATAAGCAACCCCTAAACCCCCCTCTTGGGTTGCACAGACCACTTTCGCCCCTTTCGGCAACACATTAAATGGCCTGGCCGGGCCCGTGTGCGAAATACGCATCAGTCGGAAAGCGCACGTTAAATCTCCAAAGTAAGTAAGTAAGTAAGTAAGTAAGTAAGTAAGTAAGTAAGTAAGTAAGTAAGTAAGTAAGTAAGTAAGTAAGTAAGTAAGTAAGTAAGTAAGTAAGTAAGTAAGTAAGTAAGTAAGTAAGTAAGCATAAGAATTGACTCTCACTTTGTGAGAGATCATTGGAGGATCAACCTTCATAAAGTGAGGGCCAAACATTGGATGAACGTCGTCACAAAGTGAAAATCAATTCTTTGCACGAGTTTCAATTGGTAACAAAACGAGTAACGGCGTGACTGACGTGAGAAGTTCCGTTTCAAGAACTGTTTTCAAAGCCATGCACAACTGAGAAATGATAATGTTAAAACAGGATTTACAAAGGAACAGAAAACTGAGAACCGAGTTGAAGTGAGTACTTTGAGATGAAAATAATGAACGCATGTATTTATGTGACAGGGTGTCAAGACGAATCCCACTGCCGACCTGCGGGGCAATTCACCTCCGTCTGTAACAACAAGTTCAGTTGTGAACTGGCCGATGTTTCAGTTGTCGGGTCAAATGAGGTCAAAGTTGAAGAGAAGATAACGGTTCTTGAAGAGAGTAAGTAGATAGTGAGAGTGAGTGAGTGGGTGAGTGAGTGAGTGAGTGATTTAACTCCATATTTACCTTTTGACCTTGACCCACACGATAATGTTCAATAGTGCTAGTGCATAATTACCTCAATAATAAGAGACCAGACATACGAAGACTTTGACACGAGTATTCTATCAGCACTGTTAAACTGTTTACTCATTTAATCTTAAACATGAATAAGATACAGTAAACTACGGATATAACGAATTCAAAGGGAGCTCTAATTCTAGTTCGTTATAACCGTGGTTCGTAATAAGCATGTTTACAGTATATATACAGCAAATTGCCGCGACCAAAAAAGAAAGTTCGTTATATCGGTCAGTTTGTTATAAGCGTGTTCGTTATAAACGTCGTTTACTGTATGCGCCAATATGTAATCAGCATTCCGTTATAAGTTAGAGAGTCACGTATCACTGAAAGCTTTCCACCTGATTTAAACTGAGGCAAGTATTGTACCTGATACCATGCTTTTATTCCCCACTTGGAGATCTTTCAGAATCACCTTGCACCAAAACACCTGACGTATTACACCTATTTTGAAAGTGTAATATCTTAAAAAATATTTTAAAAATTGAAATTAAAAAAAGAACTTATTCAATATTGCAAATACAAATCCTGCGTCGGCACAAATTATTATTTCAAACCTGGTAGGGGTCATATTGTTGAAAATTCATTTCTTACCCCTGTCGTCATGAAACCATTTCCCAATCATTGTACACACAATTACCCAACCACAGAGAACAGTTGCAGGAATGATTGATGGTTAAATGTACATAGTCAAATTTAACAGCAGTTCTTTTAATTTCAAATTTCATACTCGAAATAAGGCGAAATACTTAAGGAAGAGAATTTATGGATGTCAGCTTCTTTATTATGAGGAACACAATGTTTCGGAGTATATGCTTACTCCTTCATCAGGTGAATGAATGCCATGAGGCAGAGAGCATATGTATGTACATGATAAGTATCTGTCTGGCTTCCATTTGCGCATTGCTATGTCCATTCTTTCACCTATCAGTGCTTATTACCCCCGGCCTCCCGTTTGCCCATTGTCCAATGCCTATTACCTATCAATGATAAGTACTGGCGTCCGTGCTAATTACTGTAAAGTGTCGGCTTCCATTGTCTATTGCTAATCACCTATCATCGCTAATCATCTGTTGGCTTCCCCTGTTAGTTTCCACTCCTTGTCAGTTTCCACCTTTTGTTATCTCATTAATGTTTTTGTCCTTACATGTACAAATATATGCTCTCTGTCTCATGACATTCATTCACCTGATGAAGAAGTAAGCATGTACTCCGAAACATTGTTCTCCTCATAATAAAGAAGTTGATATCCGTAAATTCTCTCCCTTAAGTGTATCACTTCTAAATGCCTTTCAAAGACCTGGTCGAAATACTGGCCTTTTCCCCTCACTTTAGTTTGAAAATTGGTCATTCTTCCTATTGTATAACCATACTATTTCATCAGGTATATAAGTATTAAATATACAAAATAACCGAGTCCAGATATTCATGCTTGTCAAAGCTCCTTTATCCACAAGGCGCGGTCAGGTAGCCTAGTGGTTAAAGCGTTCGCTCGTCACGCAGAAGGCCCGGGTTTGATTCCCGACATGGGTACAATGTGTGAAGCCCATTTTTGGTGTCCCCCGCCGTGATATTGCTGGGATATTGCTAAAAGCGGCGTAAAACCATACTCACTCACTCACTCACTCACTCCTTTATCCACACTTTAACAAGCACGAATATCGGGACTCTGTTTTTGCGTTCGATTACATTTGCATCAGCTTTCCCTTTTAATTTCTGGGTCAAATAATACAATGACATCCATCATACATGATCTGTATTTGTTGGTACAGAGGGATGCCAAGTGTTGGGAAAGTGTCGCCAGCCCATGGAGAAGGTACACATGGGCATCATGAAGTGTCATTGTAGAGGAGCGGGCCACACTGAGGAGTGTACATTCTAATGCTCTCCCCTCGCTGCAGTCGATAGATATCGCCCATTCTAGTGGGAACGATGAAACATTGCTTTTGGAACATGTGCCATGTCAATAGACGGATAATCAACTCCAAGGACTGATGCATATTGCTAGTTACGCGAAACCTTTTTTATGTACTACTTCATTCTGATATTTGTTGTAAACAACTTGTTCTACTTCACTTTGGGGATTTAAGAATCGTAAATATATCGTATTGAGAGTCATCATCATATTTCGTCAGAAGAAACACACGAACTATCGATTCCTGATGTCTGATGTCTGATGTCTGACTGTCGTCTCATAGACACAATGGAGGTACTCTTATCACCAGTTCTATACAGTTGTGTTAGGAGAGGGAAACTATTGTGTCAAACTACTGTTTCTTGTTTAAGTAAATATTGAAAAAAATGTTTACAAGTGTTTCTTATTGAAACCAGTCTTCATCTGCAGTTAGAATCTGTATAGAGTACGTGAGTGAATGGGTGAGTGTAGTTTTGGCCGCTTTTAACAATACTCCAGCTAAACGCCAGCAGGTTAACATGGGCTACACGCATTGTGTAGGTGTTGACCCGGACCAACGTCTTCGGGCAACGCCTTGCAATTGTCAACCCCCACCACCTTACCAAGTACTTTTACATATAAACAGTTGGCAACGAAACACTTGTCAATGAACCATCGTATGTTCACAATAAGAAAGTGAGTGAATATTGTTTATGATAAGTTGCGGTACAAACATCATCGTGTTGTATATATCTGTACAGGCGGGCAGGCTAAACGTTAAACCATATTGTGTAAATAGCCTTGCAGAAGTCAGTAGCATTCCACCCATATCGAAACGGTCCGTAAAACAAGTGACTGACATCATGAGTAATAATCCACGTCATCTATGCATGATGACAGCCAGTAGGCCAAGTCAAAGAGTTTAACCACCCGATCCCCATTTTAAGACAACCATAAAGCACTGGGAGCATTTTCTAACCAGGGTGCCTTTGTACAAAACCTTAGCACTACGGCTGTCGTAAGTCAATGTTAAGGTATGGGAGTTACGATCACCTTAGCGCTGAGATCGCTTGTACAACGGCACCCTGGAATCCCTAAGGGAAGCCGTGTCATGTAGTGTACATTCAAATAGAGGGTTTCACCTTTTGTCACGGATGAGAACTCGGACCTTCATCACATCAAGCAAACGGACTAACCACTGTGCTACTGTACACCTCTTGGCATCGGAAGCGTGTTGGGCTGTGGGTTTGTGTTATACCATGGCACTGGGTTGTTCATGATTGACTACGTCTAATGAGTCTGCTCATGTTAGTCACTGTGTTGAAGCCAGCTGCGGTTACCGTATCCCGTCATCCGTTCCTTGTTTAATATCAGCTCTCCAATTTGTCACTACTTGGAGCGACAATACGTGCTGTAGTATTTACAGCGTCCTTCTATCTCCGACTGGATACAAGTGGGTGAGTGAGTGAGTATGGTTTTACGCCGCTTTTAGCACTATTCCAGCAATATCACGGCGGAGGACACCAGAAATGGGCTTCACACATTGTACCCATGTCGGGATGCGAACCCGGGTCTTCGGCGTGACCAGCGAACGATTTAACCACTAGGCTACCCGACGGCCCCCGACTTGATACAATCATACAATATGTTTAAACTACATATACCAATCTTTCCCTTAATCACTTACCACCACACTTATGCTTTATGGCTTCGAAAGTGGACTTTGAATAAGGATTCAAGATCGAAAACAAAAACCATCACGGGTCTTTGAGAAACATGGATGCGCCCGCGAAAACAGAACTGGTTTTCGTTTTGGATCTGAAATCTATATTTAAAGTTCGATCTGTATCCCCCAGTAATGGCATCTAAAACCAACAGTAAACAATAATAATAAAGCCACAAAACCCTTTCCACACTTGAAAGAAATCTCTGCATAAAGAAGAGTCAATTGTACAATTCCGACAATATCATGAGCATGTGTTCATGAATCACTATAACTGTACTAGCTGTGATGAACGAGGATCTGGTGGTCTTGACACACAATGGGTCATCGTCAAGGTGGATATGGGATTCGAGCTGCAAATCTGTAGTTTCTGCAGTATCGAAGGGACACAACTCGAAATAATTAGAATAACGTTCACAGCTGTGTGAAATCTCTGACAGGCTCTGGGTGTGATGCATTCAGGGGAGGTAACTCTTAATGCGTTAATGCACAGTGACGATGACGATTTTGCAGAGAATAAAATACCATTTAGATAGTCAGATTCCTGATATTTACTATCAGATGATTGTTATTGACACGAATGAATGAAACATTGTGAAATATAAACATATTCTTGCTTCCTTGATCACGTGATTTACATTTGGAAGAGCCTTAACCAAATATCTCAAAATGGGAAAAGCTTAAATAAAAAATAAAAAATTGTAGAGGGTATTGAGAGTTGTATCCTCTGGGTCTAATTGAGAGTACATCGCGTGCGATGCAGGGTTGTATCCTCTGGGTCTAATTGTGGGTCTATCGCGTGTGATGCAGGGTTGTATCCACTAGGTCTAATTGTGAGTACATCGCGTGTGATGCAGGGTTGTATCCCCTGGGTCTAATTGTGAGTACATCGCGTGTGATACAGGGTTGTATCCCCTGGGTCTAATTGTTAGTAGATCGCGTGTGATGCAGGGTTGTATCCTCTGGGTCTAATTGTGAGTACATCGCGTGTGATACAGGGTTGTATCCCCTGGGTCTAATTGTTAGTAGATCGCGTGTGATGCAGGGTTGTATCCCCTGGGTCTAATTGTGAGTACATCGCGTGTGATACAGGGTTGTATCCCCTGGGTCTAATTGTGAGTACATCGCGTGTGATGCAGGGTTGTATCCCCTGGGTCTAATTGTGAGTACATCGCGTGTGATGGAGGGTTGTATCCTCTGGGTCTAATTGTGAGTACATCGCGTGTGATACAGGGTTGTATCCCCTGGGTCTAATTGTTAGTAGATCGCGTGTGATACAGGGTTGTATCCCCTGGGTCTAATTGTTAGTAGATCGCGTGTGATGCAGGGTTGTATCCTCTGGGTCTAACTGTGAGTACATCGCGTGTGATACAGGGTTGTACCCTCTAATTGTCTGTCTGTCGCAGGTGATGCAGGGATGTACTCTGGTTACGAGCATACTTGTCGACACTGAAAATCTTTCACAGTTATCTTGTGTCTCATAACTAAGGTAGTCACGGGTGGCACGTTGCTTCAGGTGCCGTAAAGACACGTGCATACACGTGGTATGACATCAACCAAGGATCAGATGGTTCGAATCTGAGTGTCGCCCTTATTTCAATCCTTGGTCAGTCAGCACCATACACATGTGCATTAACTCACCTCCGACATTAAACTGACACGTTATGGCATAATCTGCCTGCTGTTAAAACGTGGTCAATACTTATTATAACTACCTCTTCTGCGAAAGAGCATATACAAATGTAACTAAATAATGCAACGTCAGAGTTCCTATATAACATAGAAAAACTCTTAACTTTAAACGGGGGCACGGGTGGCCCAGTCGTATAAGGCGCCGCGATTCGCTGTGCAGAGTTGCGTCCCTTGAACACGTCAGACACCTATGATGTGGGTTCGAATCCCGGTTCGCCCCGATTATGTTTCTAGGTTTGTCAGCACCATACCCGTGCTCATGGGTTTCATCGAAGTGGTAAACGTCTGAGACCTGCATCACTTCGGGCTTTCCTCACACATTAACCTGACACGCCGCGATATAACTGTAATATTGTTAAAAGCGGCGTTAAACCTAACTCACCCACTCACTCACTCACTTAACTTAAAACCCATCTGAAATTCTTCAGCTGGAGTGACAAAGGGCAATAATTGAAGGAAGCGTACATAAAATAATACACAATTAACAAAGAGAACCACAGTTCCACCGCCATGGTTCATAGAAGGGCACATTTTCATAAGGATGATATGAAATATCAATATCTGCCAAAACAAGATATAGTTCTTCGAGATGACAATAAATGATGTCATTTGATTTAGTCATCCTTATTTTACTCCGGTCAGGCACCTCGCCGAAGGACAATTATGCAGTGTGTGTGACTGTATGCTGAATGGTCCGATGGTAAAGGCCGCATCGTTTTCCAATTTATTTGAATGATGTTAGGTTTCTGTTTTTTTCCAATACTCTTATTACAATACAACTTGCTTCTACGAGCAGAGGATTCGTTAGTTGACAAAAGAGTTGATATGATGGCTCAACGCTGTGCGCGTCATTTTGACGTAAATAAAAGGCCAGTTGAAACCATATTGTTGTTTCTCGTGATTTTCTTTCAAGTCTGACAGAGTTGGCAGGGAGAAGATTTTGTTTTCATTTTAATTCAGTCAAATCTTCGCTTGTATAAAATAAATGTTCTGAAGTACCACCAAAACTCATTTTTAAACATTACAACATGGGGGACTTTTTTCTTTTTGTTTTCAGAAATTCATTGAAACAAACCTGAGCGTGGGCAAATTAGATCAGTTAGTCTGACAAGTAGATGTTTGCATTTTAGTATACCATCTCCAGAACCGTTACACAAAGCTATCTACAGAAAATATGTGGTAGATAGACGACATAAGAATACAGTCTTAATTTTCATCATGTTTTAAAGAATAATTAAGTAGATGTTATTTTTATTAATGTGTATATTCCGATTCCCCCACCAGTCCACATTAAATTCATAATTGTACCAAAACGACCCCCCACTCCTCCGACACCTCGCAGTATTTACTGATTTGCATAATCACTAACGTCATGACAAGTCGCTCGGAAGGGTTACATTAAAAAGTGCCACTGTGGGATGGAAACTAAAATCGGGAGATATTTGAGGTCAGATAGGTCAAACTAGATATATTTGATCAGGATGTGGCCATGGGATAGTGGGAAAGTGGTCACAAATTCAAGGTGTGCAGTGTTTTGAATCAGTAACTGATTTAAGCGATCAGTAATGTAAATAGGACTCAAGTTCCTACCTACTTTAACACAATAATCACAAACTTAAAGGCAATGAACAAACTTAACTGCATACCTCACATGTCATGCAGTCTTCAAATCTGGGAGAAGTAGATTTTGACAGTTTACTTGACAATGACAAGTGGACATTCTGAATACGTCCTCTCCCCTGATATTATCTTAAGAACACACACTGTCTACAAATAATATAACTGTCCAAATGTAGGCGTGATGTTCTACACGGTATATAAAATCGAAAAAGTCCGAAGCAATTATATTGAAGAGCAGCAATGCTGCATGTCCTCAAAGTGAAGAAATAGACACAATAACCACGAAATCTACAACCATCAATTTCAGCTTTTATTATGATACCATCGTAACAAGTTTCAAAAAGAGAACCTCCATCACTTGATGACCCAACTAATAA